GCTATTTTTTCAGCTATTTAAGATACTAGATTATGTTTCATACTCGATGAAAGTATTTGAAAAGAGCCGGCCGGAGTGAAGTTTGGATTTCTTGTTTTCAAGGCGTAAACAAGCCAGTATACCATAACTAGTTTCAGAATTCTCCTTGTGGAATAATCTCCGCAAAAAACAGAAGGCTTTTGAATTTATGAATTCAAATTGGTTCTTTGGGAAAATGATGATCTTGACTTACTGTTTATGCCGCGGAAAGTTTACAGATAACATTGAAAAAGATACTTGGTCCGGCGTCAAAAACAAGTCGTTTCTGTTTTGACGCTAAAGGAATTCAAAGGTATTAGGCGCTAATACTAAAAGTTGCAAGAACCAAAACGACAACATGATTGCATATAAGAATCTTATGCAAAATCGGAGCAGTGAATTTTTGCGAAATACTTGCTAAAACAGGTCTTTTGCTGGCTTGTTTTGGCCATTAGTGCGAAATTGTTCAGAAATATGTAGCCGTTTTTGCAGCCGGGTCAAAAAAAATTTTTCAATTTCTGTCTGTAATTTTTCCGTGCCATAAAAGTCGTGCCATAAAATTCTCTCTGTTATTGGCGAGGATGATTTTACAGCAAGAAGACTTCTGAACTAGTTAGAATAAACTGATCATTTTACGCCTTCAAAAAAAGTTTCTCAAAAGATGAACCTGCATTGTCCTTCCAATAAAATGTATCTAGTAGTTTTTGAAATCTCATCCCAATATCTTAATAAGATAGAGTGAAAATGACAAAATCGTTAAGAAATAAACAGTTTAGCTGCTCGTTAAAATAAAAATTTTCAATTTGTTTCTCCAGTGATTGTAACTCTTGAAGCTCAATCAAATTTTTTACCGCTACTAATGCAGACAGGCGAAGGATGATCATACTGATAAGTAAACTCACTATACAAAATGAGTTTATAAACTATACAAAGAAAAATTTCGCGCTTTTATTGTCCCAAATTGGCCATTTATAAAACCCCATAACTCAATGAAAAATGGTCATCGATAAATTGTCTTTTTTAATTTGAGCTCAAGACAATGAACTTTTTGACTGGTATTTAAAAATGTTGTCAAAAATGGTAAGTTAAAAGTAGAAACTTGTCTAGAGAAAAAATGCAACCCCGAAAACAAACATTAACAAAAAATTACTGCGAAAGTTGGAGCCAAGTTTTCATTGCAGACTTAGCCCTGAAACAATCTAGAACTGAACTAAACGCAGACTCAAATTCTCGTGTTACTCTGATTAACATTAACACAAATTATCCAAAAGAAAAAGACCAACATGCAAGCTGTTCAACACCCCTGGTTAAACCCTTAGTGCATTGCTTTGGCTATTCTCTCTCAACCTAACATTATGAGGCCATATTGTGTTTTTGTGATTTGTTAGCGGATTCCACAGCAAGAAGGCTCTCTTTAATTTTCTTTCGTTCTTTTGTTTTTTTTATTGTTCCGACAAAATTTCAACATTTAAAAGAAATTGTCTCTGGAATCCAGAAATCTATACACCCTAACTTGTGCGCCAACTCAGTGCACAGTTTGGCTGCATAAGAAAAGCAACGAGCATGTATCATGATGGTACTCAAACATCCGAACTTTTGATTGAGAGGCGGAGTCGTCACCACTTCACTGCCGCTCCCTTAAGCCTGACAGAGCTGATACATCAAAGGACTGGCAAATGGATGGAAGACTGGGCTTAGCAAAACAAAAAGCAAAAGCCAAAAAAATACCTGTCAAAAAATTTGAAAACGAAATAATACGACATAATACATCAGAAAAGGTGCAAAAAAATTAACACCCAGGAGACAAGAACTCAAAAACAGCTGCAGCAGAAGATTAAAACGAAGAAAATACTGTGTGAGCAGTAACAGAGAACACAAAAACCGAGAAACGCTAAAAACAAGGAAACTCAACCCAGAAAACGATCAAAAAATATGGAAACAAAAAAGAAAAAACTCAAAATACATCGGTGATTACATCCTCAAAACACTCAACTTAATGAGAACCTGATGGAAACACCAAAAAAGATCTAGCAAATAAATCATAAAAAAGTATCAAAAACATTTGAAAAATGTGCTAGCGGAAAATACAAGAAGCCAACGGAAAATTGAATCAAAAACACCATCACATGAGGAGAAAGAAGATGAAAACACAGAGTAGTTGGAAGAAAGTTGTGCAGAACTAGAACATGCGGAAAAAGTGCCAGGTCGCTTAAGAACAATAAACACTGAAGAGATTTGGGAATCCAGTGAAGACATGGGTTTTTTTTTACCTATTCCGCACACAAAAAAAAACAATATTCCAACATCTTGAAGTTGAATAATTTCTGCCGATCAAAATTCAGCGCTATCTCAGAATGTTTTGTTCTCAATTGTAAGACAATTTATAAACAGCCAAATTTGCCAAAAAAAGAATATTTGGTAAATTATTCAAATAAACTGCAGAGTTTTACCTAGGTCAGAAAAACAAAACGAAAAGCTCCTGGAAAAATGACCACCTTAACTGCTCAAATTTCGGATTCGTTAGAAATTGGCTAAGGATCAAAGAATCGCATTTATTTCTACCAAACAGACCATCTAGATCAGTGTTTTTGTTATCTATGCATTTATACGTTGAAAATTGCAAAACCGAAAAATTAAGAAATTTGGGCGGAGTAAGTAAGAAAACCCAGGACTCTAAATTATTTGTAGAGAGCAACGAAGCTATAAATAGAAATTTGGACAACAAAGACCAGTGGAAAAATTAAAAATTCAAATTTCAGAGCTGTTTTATATCAAAAAAATGTAGCATAATTGATCAAAACCTGGGCCGCGAAATGTAACAGAAAAATTCGGAAAATTGGCGATTGCGAATGAGAGTTGGCAAAAAATGAGCCGTAAAAAAATATTCTGAAATCTAAAATTGTTTAACCATAAAGGCATAGCCACAGCATAAACTTTTTTATCGTGCAATCGATACACTGTTAATTTGTGTAAACTTATTCGTAAAAGGGATTTTTGTACTGACCAATAGCAGTGAGCTTGATGATTATAGAGCTCCTTTGCTTATTCAGCCCAAACTTCTTAACTTTGTGGTTTTGTAAAGTGCAATGTTTTAATGCAGAGATAACAAAAAACTGATCTCATTGATCGGTTTGGCTTAAGCAAATGCAATCACTTTACTCTTTAGCCAATTGCTAACATAGCCCAGTTTTGAGCAGTGAAGTTGACCATTTTTTCCGGGAGCTTTTTCTTGTTCCTCTTTTTTTGCTGTTCTGAGTAAAACTCTGCCGCTTTTTTGAAATAACTTTGAATAGTTTACCAAATTTTAGACCAAAATTTTGAATTTTGATTGGCTAAAATAGCTTCAGTTCAAAATGTTAAAAATGTTTTTTTTTCTGCCTAGTATGTAAAAAGACCCGATTATGGTGTCGATGCTTTAATGCTTGATGCGTAAAAGCTAAACTGTTTGAAAATGGATTCATGTTGCTGGGTAGTGAATGGTATTGATCATGAGTATTGATTGATCTTGATAGTAATGACCATGAGAACGCTCGAAACCGAAAACACTGATAATTCAGACGCCAAATGATCTGAAACCGAAAACACGAAAACACTGATAATTCAGACTTTTCAATGATCTGAACATCAATGTGTTGCAACCTTCGATCAACGAGCACGAGTTTTGGTGGGCCTTAATTTTCGAGCTTTGTGGGCCTTAATTTTCAAAATGTTAAAAATGTTTTTTTTTCTGCCTAGTATGTAAAAAGACCCGATTATGGTGTCGATGCTTTAATGCTTGATGCGTAAAAGCTAAACTGTTTGAAAATGGATTCATGTTGCTGGGTATTGAATGGTATTGATCATGAGTATTGATTGATCTTGATAGTAATGACCATGAGAACGCTCGAAACCGAAAACACTGATAATTCAGACGCCAAATGATCTGAAACCGAAAACACGAAAACACTGATAATTCAGACTTTTCAATGATCTGAACATCAATGTGTTGCAACCTTCGATCAACGAGCACGAGTTTTGGTGGGCCTTAATTTTCGAGCTTTGTGGGCCTTAATTTTCAAAATGTTAAAAATGTTTTTTTTTCTGCCTAGTATGTAAAAAGACCCGATTATGGTGTCGATGCTTTAATGCTTGATGCGTAAAAGCTAAACTGTTTGAAAATGGATTCATGTTGCTGGGTATTGAATGGTATTGATCATGAGTATTGATTGATCTTGATAGTAATGACCATGAGAACGCTCGAAACCGAAAACACTGATAATTCAGACGCCAAATGATCTGAAACCGAAAACCGAAAACACTGATAATTCAGACTTTTCAATGATCTGAACATCAATGTGTTGCAACCTTCGATCAACGAGCACGAGTTTTGGTGGGCCTTAATTTTCGAGCTTTGTGGGCCTTAATTTTCAAAATGTTAAAAATGTTTTTTTTTCTGCCTAGTATGTAAAAAGACCCGATTATGGTGTCGATGCTTTAATGCTTGATGCGTAAAAGCTAAACTGTTTGAAAATGGATTCATGTTGCTGGGTATTGAATGGTATTGATCATGAGTATTGATTGATCTTGATAGTAATGACCATGAGAACGCTCGAAACCGAAAACACTGATAATTCAGACGCCAAATGATCTGAAACCGAAAACCGAAAACACTGATAATTCAGACTTTTCAATGATCTGAACATCAATGTGTTGCAACCTTCGATCAACGAGCACGAGTTTTGGTGGGCCTTAATTTTCGAGCTTTGTATTGAGAGGCAAAACTTAGACCAACGTGAAATAAAACTGCTAATAAAACTTCGAGTAAAATATTTGACTCTGATAGGCTGAGACATTCATCTTCACCAATTTAACATCCCCAAAACGAGTAAGTGGCAGAATGTTAACTTGATCCGAAAAATTATATATAGAAAAACATACTTTGAACTTGCCTAACGGGATCAAAATTAATATATGAAAGTCTGAATTCGGTAATTTTTATTTAGATTTGCTGGTCGGCTTGATGAATGTTCTGCCAGAGCTCATACTGAGAATTGGGGCGCAGTTCTTCTCGCAGTATGACATAATCTGCAAGGTGTTTCGCACTTCGATGGTTCGTATATATATTTGCGTGTTTGATTTGTAATTCTGTGAATTTTTTTTCGTTCCCACAACTGAAATTAAAGAAGAACTTTGAAATTTACTGATACATCAATTTATTCGCACATTTTTGAAGCATGTCATATCGGCCAATGTGGCAGAAAAAACGGGCGTTTCAAAAATCAATACTGCTCAAATTAGGGCAAAGCTCTGACTATTCTGACTGCCGCTTGACGTACGAGTAATTAGTCATTAAAAAAAAAATTTTAGCTTTGATAATGTTTTTTTTAAAGTTCAGAAAATTGGAATTTTTTCAAATAAAAATTCAAATTTTCGAGAAATTATTCCCGTATGCGCTGTGTAAAGTGTACAACAATGTAAATAACGCATCAAAAAATCAGAAGAAATTGCCTCAAATAATTTCTAAGCCGACAACCGCCAAGCGTTTTTTATTCAGAGCTCGTGTTTCGGTTCTGACAAGCTTGCAATATGTATCAGCCCGATAATATTATATGACGACTTTGCATTCGACCAATATTGATTCAACTGCTCTATATTTAACTATTTTCTTTGAGATATTTGCAAGTTGTGAATACTCCATTCCGATTGGTTTTTCAACATTCGATCCTTCCATCATAAAAGACTCTACAATGCAAAATATCTCACTTTGTTCTTGGCATTAAGTATGGGGCGGAAGTTTAAAAAAACACACCAACTTATTTCTAAAACACCAATTTTTCATGACAAAAATTAATTCAAACACTTTAAGCGGCCATTTCGCTTTAAATGATCAGTCTTGTTGCTATTGATATATTCATGTTTTTAGGTGTTTCCTCTGATTCTGTCGTCAAACGTGTTGGTCGCACTGAGTATCGATCGCTTCTACGTCATCGTTTACCCAATGAAAATTGGAAACGAAGGTTAGTTGCTTACATATGTAACGATTTTTGAGTCAATCACGTCTGACTTTTGAAAACGCAGAGTTTTCAATATCGGTATCAGATATGCGTCATGGCTATTTCCCGCCTGAGAATATCTGAAACATCTGCAGACTATACCTGAACTGAACTGAACTGAACTATGATTGATCCAACGAGCAAACATGTACGAACTTTGTACCAATTTACAAATCCTCCTTTATTCATTTCACAGTAAATGGCAATTGTAAACAATTGTTCATTCTTAACATGTTACGACCTAATTGTTAAAACAAGACTGCTCGTATCAGGGCGAAGCCCTGAATTTTCCGGCTGCCTTTTAAGGTTTATGGAGCAGCAGTAATAGCATAAAAAATTTAATGAAACAAAATGAAATGTAAATTTTTTTTTTAATTTGAAATTTTTTTTATAAAAATCATCCCCCCACACGCCATATAAAGTGCAAAAAGATAGATTTCGTTCCTTGTAACAAATCAATTATGGCAAATAAGCTTTGTTCAACCAATTTGGAACGATTTATAAGACGGATTAAATCTCCGCTTACACGTTAATAGCGCGAATTATATCGCGCGTTAATTGTCCCAAATTGGTCAAAATGGCCAAAATGGCAATCTTTAAACCCTCATAATTTACGAAAAAATGATCACAGGTGAAATATCTTTTCAAATTTGAGCTCAAGACAACAATGGCTTCCGAATGATATAAAAAATTCCGTCAAAAATGGCTAGTTAAAAAGTCGAAATTTGTCTGAAGAAAAAAAAACCCACCCCGAGCACAAATATTCCGTTACTTTCGTATCGAAAGTCGGAACAACAAGCAGCGAGATTTGATTTCGGAATTTGATGAAGATATTCTTTCCTCAAACTAAAAAAGCCATCTGTTGAGCAATTAGTAGATTAAATATTACAACAACAAAAAAACTATTTATAAAGTTGAGCTTTAAAATATAAGTTTTCTCCCAACTTGCTTGCATATTAAGGAAAAACTTATAATGATTACATGAGTTTTAAGTTTTTGAATTACTTTACCAATAGCAAAACTTTACGAATTGAATATTGCTTAAAACATTTTTGATACTGGTTTAAAAATTAAAATTTGATTTAGAAATTAAAACTGTATTTCTCATTTTTTTTATTTTTCATAAATAGGAGCAAACAATTGCACCAATATCAAAAAAGTTTAGATCAAACTCATTGTTTAAATATCCTTTAACATTTGAATTGGAGGATAATCGATGAAAGCTAGTTTTTGTCTCAAAAATTAATTGGAATCGATTGACATGAAAAACATCTCTGATTTATCAACGCTGCTTATCAGCAAAAAATCATTGCAGCTTCGATTGCCTGTAATGTCTTAGTTTTGTTTTTGGTAAACTTTTTTGGTAACAATGTTTTTGCTCAAAGCAAAACTCTGTTTAATCTCATGCGCTTTGTCGCAAATTAAGAACACAATTCTAAAGAAGACTGCTGGTATCAGGACAAAGCCATAAAGATTATGCCGTCACCTAAAAGTCCATGGAAAACAAATTTACAAAACTCATTGTTAAAACTTTGAAAAAAACTATGGAGAAAACTGTTTTCCAATTAAGTTTTTTTTGAAAATTTTCCCTCCACACGATCAAATACAAAGTGGTGATACAAGCGCCGCGCAACGTAAAAAGAGTTTCAAATATCTTAACGTAAATTTAATTGAAACGATTTCAGAGCCATTTAAAATTGAGCTCAGAGCGTATAAAACGCAAAAAATTGTTTTTAAAATTGATATTAAAAGAGTCGAAGTTTTTCTGAGGCAAAACCTCACCGAGCACAAATATTCCACCCTTTCTTCCACCCTTTCTTGCAATTGTCGAACTTAAATTTTAACAAAACTGCTCGTATCAGGGCAAAGCCCTGAATGTTCCGCCTGCCTTTTAAGGTTTATGGAGCAGTAATAACATTAAAAAATTTAATGAAATAAAACAAATTCAAAAAAAAAAATTTCTAAAATTTGAAATTTTTTAAGAAAATCATCGCCCCACACGCCATAAAAAGTACAAAAGGATAGATTTCACTCCTTGTAACAAACCAATTATGCCAAATAAGCTTCTTTTAACCAATTTGGAACGATTTTTAAGACGGATTAACTATCCGCTTACGCGTTAATAGCGCGAAATATATCGCGCGTTAATTGTCCTAAATTGGCCAAAATGGCAATCTTTAAACCTCCGTAACTTTAGGAAAAATGATCACAGGTGAAATATGTTTTAAGTTTAAGCTCAAGACAACAATACCTTTCGAATGATGTAGAAAAAAATTTGTCAAAAATGGCTATTTAAAAAGTCGAAATTTGTCTGAAGAAAAAAAAACCCACCCCGAGCACAAATATTCCGTTACTTTCGTATCGAAAGTCGGAACAAAAAGTAAACAAGACTGCCCGTATCAGGGCGAAGCCCTGAATGTTCCGACTGCCTTTAAGGTTTATGCAGCAGCAGTAATAACATTAAAAAAACTCAATTAAATAAAATAAAACGAAAAATTTTTTATGAAAATCATCACCCCACACGCCATATAAAGTACAAAAGGATAGATTTCGCACCTTGTAACAAACCAATTATGTCAGATAAGCTTCTTTTTACCAATTTGGAACGATTTCTAAGACGTAGTAAATCTCGGCTTACGCGTTAATAGCGTGAAATATATCGCGCGTTAATTGTCCCAAATTGGCCAAAATGGCGATCTTTAAACCCCCGTATCTTTAGGAAAAATGATCACAGGTGAAATATCTTTTCAAATTTGACCTCGGGGCAACAATACCTTTCGAATGAAAAAAAAAATTTCGTCAGAAATGGCTATTTAAAAAGTCGAAATTTGTCTGAAGAAAAAAAAAACCCACCCCGAGCACAAATTTTCCGTTACTTTCGTATCGAAAGTCGGAACAATAGCTGCAATTTGAGGTTCAAACTTATTCGATTCGAAAGTAACGGAATATTTGTGCTCGGGGTGGGTTTTTTTTTTCTTCAGACAAATTTCGACTTTTTAAATAGCCATTTTTGACAAATTTTTTTCTACATCATTCGAAAGGTATTGTTGTCTTGAGCTTAAACTTAAAACATATTTCACCTGTGATCATTTTTCCTAAAGTTACGGAGGTTTAAAGATTGCCATTTTGGCCAATTTAGGACAATTAACGCGCGATATATTTCGCGCTATTAACGCGTAAGCGGAGATTTAATCCGTCTTAGAAATCATTCCAAATTGGTTGAAAGAAGCATATTTGCCATAATTGGTTTGTTAAAAGGAGCGAAATTTATCCTTTTGTTATTTATATGGCGTGTGGGGGGATGAAAAAATTTCATAAAAAGTTTCAAATTTTGGAAAAATTTTTTTTCATTTTCTTTTATTTCATTGAATTGTTTAATGCTGTTACTGCTCCATAAACCTTAAAAGGCAGTCGGAACATTCAGGGCTTCGCCCTGATACGAGCAATCTTGTTGTTTTCACATTCGAACTTTTCCCTCCTTTGCGCATGAAGTATTACTAGAAATGTTCGTGTTTATTTTCAAGAAAATTTCACATTTTTCTAATCTTTTATCTTAAGGAAAATTGTCAATGGATCATTCAAAAAAATGACTGAAAGCACCTTCTTAAGTTTTTAATTCTTGATTGTGACCAAAATTAAGTCGCTGTAAGAAAAGTTTTGTAGAAAATAATAGATGTGATTTCCAGCAGCGCATCTCGTTCATAAAATGTTTAAATGTGTGCTGCATAAAATTGCAGTAAGAGGAACCCCATTTTTAATAATTTTATGGGCTAGGAAAAGCAGTCCTTAAGACAATTTATCCACTAAGGAAACGACGAGCATACGAGTTGCGCATATTTTCACAGAGAACCTCTGCTGCGACCCTGCATACGAATTACATGCAAATTTTTTCGGCTTTTTTCTCGGCTGGGTAAAGTTGCCTTGCGCTCAAGTAACGAGTGCGGATCATAGGGGGCCTCGAACATAGGACCTTTCGATTGAGACACGGGGACGTAACAACTTCACCTCCGCTCACCCTCGGGTTTTTATTTTTCCAGGCAGCAGATCGCGCTTCATGATCCTGATGGCGTGGCTGGCCACTTTGGTGGAGACGATCCCGTTTCCCTTCGTGTTCCACTTAGACCCCTCCTCTGGACCAGAAGGACTGCCCCAGTGTCTGGTTGAGATAGAACAGAACCACTGGCTCATAATCTACGTCATCTACTCCTGTGTCATCTCGTTCGCTCTCCCTTTTGTCGTCATTGTCGGATGCTATGTTGTCATCATTATAACTGTGACGAAGAAGGCAAACGCAAGTTAGAAAATTATGTTATAAATCCTTTTCGTTTCGTTCTCCGTAATATCAAATCTACATGCTAATGTTTGCTTCACTTGCGTAATTGTAGGTTTGCGAAATTAAGAACCTAGAAAAAGTTTCTAATGCAACAAAAGTGAGCAATATTGAGAAAGATCCGAAAATTAGGAGTAAAAAAATAAACGCTAACTTTGTTTCATTGCACCAGTTATGGATTTTTTTGTTGGTTTTATATATAAAAAAATTGAATGAATAGCAGAAGTTCGAAAACATTTTGACACCGGTAAAACACAAAAAGTCCTCTCTTTGGTTCTATTTAACTATATTGATTTTTGGCGAAGCAATGTTAAGAATTTTCTAAATGCGTTTTCCGTCAAATAATTACAAACTTTGAGATGTTAATTTTGGTTTCTTGTTTTTAATCAATCTTGTTCTAGTCCATTTTTCACTTTTTGGATGAAAATCTTTGTTTTTAATTGTAAGTAAAAATTGCTATTTTTATCACATTATTCTGCCATGTTAATCGCTTTTTTGACGGTTGAAAAATGAATGACATATATTACTGCCAGAGTTAGCTGCCCCAAATCATTTGGGGAGCTCAAGTTGGCCGAGACAAAAAATTAATTTAATTACTGCAAACCATAAATGTCAAGAAGTTGTCATGTTCTCATGAAAATAGAGTAGCTTCAACCAAACTACGGCTAAATTAAGAAGAACCGAAGTAATTATTTTCAAGATATTCTTACTTGATCTGAATTCCAAACACTTAAGTACCAAATATTTTGGGTTTTTCATAATAACAGACAGTTGAATATCCGATCAGTATTGAGCTATATTGAAAAAGAAAAAGGTTTCAAACGACTGAACTAAATTTTTGGAGTATTTTATTTGTACAAGAATGCGCGTTAACGAGACTTGAAATTTCAATGCAAGCTTTTTACGCGAAATAAATTAGCTCAAGCTGCAAGAAACTCGGAATAATAATCCGTCATTCAAACTGCCACAAAAATCCCGCAGCATCGATAAAAATGATTTTAAAATGGTTCCTAATCGTTTAAAAAATAGCAAAAAAATTGCAAAAAAGAAGAAAACTGAATATTTATGCTCGGCGTGGTTTTTTTATTCAGTCAATTTTCACCGATCGAAATAATAATTTTCAATCGAATTTTTTTCTACCACATTGAAGATTTTGACTTCATCAGTTCAAATAAAAAAAATATTTCACCTCCGAATATTCTTTGTGAAATTCTGAGGGTTTGAAAATTGCCAATTTTGCCATGTTCTGGACTAAGTTATGCGCATTTTGAAGAGTTTATTCATAATGCTGAGAGCGTAATATGAATTATTTATGCGTGGAGAATTATCCCGCACAACAAAAATTGCAAAACTGTTCCAAATTGAATTGAGGCCAGCTAATTAGTCGTATTAATTTTGTACGGCTCAAAATTGTACGGTTTGATTTTTTCCAAAATGTATAAATTTTCAATATTTTTTTTCCTAAAGGAAAACTATTCGATATGAACTAAGGGACAGTTGCCTTGATTACGAGCAGTCTTGTTTTTCTTTTCTACGGCTATTGGTTTTTGCGTTTCTCAACTTTTTAACTTCAAAAAATAAAACCAAAGAATTTATCTCTGAGTCATTTAACACCTTATTAACTTTGAACCACTACAAAAATGCCATAACTTAACGATTTTAACCCAAAGATTAGAAAGTATTTCGAAAGGGAAGTCGGTAACATCAAAGGTTAGAATGTTTACCATCTGGAGCTTGTTAGTTGTGCGATATTTAAACGCGCGTAAGTTTTGAACAGATACTACTCAAATTGTTGCATTTGTTCCGACTTTTGTAACGAAAGTAACGGAATATTTGTGATCGGGGTGGTTTTTTCTTCAGACAAATTTCGACTATTTAACTCGCCTTTTTTGACGGAATTGTTTTATATCTTTCAAAGGGTATTGTTGTGCTCAGCTTAAATTTGCAAATATATTTTACCTCTGATTTTTTTTTCGTAAAGTTATGAGGGTTTGAAGATTGCCATTTTGGCCAATTTGAGACAATTAATGCGCGATACACTTTGCGCTATCAACGCGTAAGCGGAGATTTAATCCGTCTTATAAATCGTTCCAAATTGGTTGAATGAAGCTTATTTGCCATAATTGATTTGTTACTAGGAGCGAAATCTATCACTTTGTACTTTATGTGGCGTGTGGGGGGATGATTTTTTGCAAAAAATCTGAAGTTAAAATAAAAATTCATTTTTTTATCATCAATATGTTATTTCAGCTCATTACTGCTCCATAGACCTCAAAAGTTAGTCGGAACATTCAGGGCTTCGCCATGATACAAGCAGTCTTGTTTTGATTTAGTCTCAATATCGTTTTTTGTCGTTAAAAATGACTTAAAGTTCTGCTTTTAATTGAAAGCCAGTTTCCAAGATTTTGATAAGTTTTCATATTTAGGAAACCTTATGTTTAGATATTTGAAAGCTTGTGTTCTTTTGATCTAAATTTTAGTGGTCTTAATTTTTTATTTAAAAGGACAAATTGCCAATAAATTGGGAGGTTTAAGTGCTGACTAGTTTGAGAATTAAACTTTGGGATTAAGTAATGCGAAAAAGAGTAAAATTTCTACAATGTTGAATGACATAGTGTTAAAACATTAAAGGATTGAAATTTAGAACACCATTTTTGCAAATGGGAGAATGATTAACAATTTCTTTGCAATTGGCAAAACAACACTGAATTTAACAAGACTGCTCGTATCAGGGCGAAGCCTTGAATGTTCCGACTGCCTTTTAAGGTTTTATGGAGCAGAAATAACATTAAAAAATTTTATGTTTTAAAATAAAATGACATTTTTTAAATGAAAATCATCCCCCCACACGCCATATAAAGTACAAAAGGATAGATTTCGCTCCTAGTAGCAAAACACTTACGGCAAATAGCCTGTTTTAACCTTTTTGGAACGATTTCTAAGACAGATTAAATCTCCGCTTACGCGTTGATAGCGCAAAGTGTATCGCGCATATAATTGTCCCAAATTGGCCAAAATGGCAATCTTTAAACCCCCATAACTTAACAAAAAATGGTCACAGGTGAAATATTTTTTCAAAATTGAGCTCAGGACAACAATACCTTTTTAATGATATTTTAAAAAAATCCCTCAGAAATGGCTAGTTAAAAAGTCGAAATTTGTCTGAAGAAAAAAAAAACCCACCCCGAGCACAAATATTCCGTCACTTTCGTATCGAAAGTCGGAACAACAAGACTGCTCGTATATCAGGGCAAAGCCCTGAATGTTGCGACTGTCTCATAATTCATATCGAATAGTTTTTGGGATAAGAAAATTTTGAAAAGCCATACATTTTGGACAAAATCAAAGTGTAATATTTTGGGTCGTACTTTATTAATACGACCAATTAGCTAGCCTCAATTCATTTTCTAACGATTTTGTTGTGCGGGATAATTCGCCACGCATAAATAAATCGCGTTACGCTTTCAGCATTGTGAGTAAACTTTTCAAAGCGCTTGTAATTTAGGCCAAATCATGGAAAAATTGTTACTTTTCAAACCCCTAGAACCTAACAAAAAACAATTGGAGGTAAAATATTTTGTCATATTTGAATTCAGGGAGTTTTTTTTCACATTTCAGTCAAAAACTTTTTGTTGTGCGAAACTGTTTTTTGTACTCAAGCCCACTTTTTGCAGCACAAAACTGTCTAGGTCTACTCTTGTTTTTGTTTTTGTAAAACTAATATGTTTTTTAAACTATATAAAACTCTTTAAAATGCCGCTAAATGGTAATGAAGTTATTGCACAAAGCTAGCAGGCGATCCTTCTGAACAACTAAAATTTTTGACACTAGTTAAAATATCTTGATAAATTTATTTTTAGGGTTAACCGATGTCTTTGTATAGGTTCCGACTGACATATAATGTCAACATCTCAGGTCGTTGGATTGTAAATTCATTTAGTGACATGCATGGTTGGGTAATCATTTTTCAGATAAGACCGTCTCTGATTATTTTTTAACCCACGAAGGAAAATTTATCGTATGAATATTTCACTTGTTTGTGAAATGTGCCCCTGATTAAAGTTTCCAAGCATTTTTTTGGCTATTTTCCTTTGCTGTATAATGTTGTCTTTCATTCAAACAACGAGCATGAGCGGATTAGACAATTCGTTTGTAAGTTACAGAGATGCAGAATTTTTTTTTTAATTTCAGCAATTCATGAACCAAAAGTAATTGGAATCCGCCCTCTGATTTTTTCATGGCACAATCAGTCGGTAATTATTACTTACGGCGACCAATTTTGAAAGAAAGAAGGAAGTTTAAACCGATCGCCTCAAAACAGAAAAAAAATTGGTCCCTCTAATTTTTTCTTCTGTTAATTCGCAACCTCTAAGAAGTTGACTTTGCCCATCAAATGTTGAAACTGACTGTGCTTCCGATAATTAAAATGTCATTACCAACTAATAAAGCCTTAACGCTTCCTCAAACCGGACAAGACTTTAAAAAAGAAGACTTTTTTCAGAATCTATGTCGATTTGGTTCTGTGATTAGAAAAGTAAATTACCCAAGCCTGCAAAAAAACAACATAATGTTGAATTTGACCACTTTGCGTCATGGAGTATAATTTAATAACGAAGTTGACGTTTGTGTCTTGGAGAAAATTTATCTAAATTAGATTACCCCGGGCGAATTACTGCGTCACTCTTTTTTGTTCATTTGGAGGAATAAATCCCCATCAAAAAAGCACGCATCAATTCGAAATCTAAATAAATTATTTGCAAAATTTCAAGCCATTTGGCTGAAACGAGGAGGAAAGAACAAATACTACACACCGGGCAGATCTAGGATTTTTTTTGTGTTTGATGTTTTTTAACCTTTTTTTTCACTATAAAGACCCTATTTTGACCAAATTTTTTTGGCACCGCAGGCAAATTTTGAAATAAGAACATTCCAAAAAGACGTTTTTCGGAATGTTTTGACCAAAAAATGCGTTTTTTTGGCTCTCCCTCAAAATTTGTATATATTAGCGCCGAAGATGCGTTTAGATAATTTCAAGTGTCGGTCGGCCAAAAATGGATCAAAAAAATACTAACAAAGGGAGAGTTCTTTGAGTGGCCAGGGAGTCGACTAAAGATAACCTTTTTTTTCTGAGAAGAACAATTCAGTTATCAATTTTATTATTACATGATCCGAAAATGCAGTCGAAAAATCAAAGAAATGGTTCTAAAAATTAATGTATGGGCAACGGGCTTGAAATGAACTATTTGAAACCATGCGCACGATACAGGCTAAACACGTCCTTGACTTCCAAAACAAGTTGCGGACCACCATAACTCGTAATCAACGTTAAAGTCTTTCGTCAAAGACCGGTGACGTTTTTTCCAGATGCGGCCTGTTTTTTTTTTAATTTTGTCACATTTTCACGCCGTGTCCAGCTTTTAGAGAGACGTTTTTTTCTCACTTTAAGTGAGCCATTTCGATTTTTTCGAGCTCCGCAAAATCATAGAGTTTTATGATTGAAAAGCATTTTCTGCTTCACAGTCAATTTTTTTGGGCGAATATAGCGTTTTTTGGATCTTTTTGGAAAGTTTACAAAAAAGTCATAACCTGACTGTTGAGAGACACAACATTGACTCATAGAAACAAGTTGAACAGCTCATTTATTTGTGATCTTTTTTCTTCATTTATAAATAGTCTCCATTTTTAAGGCGGGCTAAGGCTGGGCGCCAATTTCTCCAAATCCCCCAGTACGCAAACAAACCAAACAGCAACCGGGCAGAAAACCAACAACTCTCTGGGCCGACTGGTCTACAAGGCCAAGAAACCAGCTCACAGCCAAAATCCAACTGCCAGTGGCAGCTCCATGTGTCAGGCATCGTCACGTGACTTTCAAAGTGATGGGGCCAGTTTTTCAACGACAGCAGGGGGCTACCATAATGGGGGAGCCATGATCCGATTGGCGTCTTCGGCTGACGGAGGCACGGGCATGATCGCAAGCTCAAGGGGGATTATTCCTCGGGCGAAGATAAAGACGATTAAGATGACTGTGATAATCGTTGCTGGTGAGTTGAAAAAAAAAGCTGAAAAAAACAGGCGAGGCGAAGCTTTGCACCACTTGCCATACACTACAAATATCGCATGGCCGACTAACCGACAGAAAAAGAGTCGAATACCGCAAAAAATTGAATTTTTTTTAATGTCGAAAAACTGATATCCCGAAATTTTTTTTGATTTCGTCTTAAATAAAGTTCCTTCTATAAAGAACATGCCAAGTAGACATGCAGACATGCTCAAATTTTGTCTGTTAGTTGACAATTGTATATATTTGAAGATGACTACCAATAAGAAACATCCTGCTTACAAAACTTTTTCACGAAGAAAAATATAGTAATTGGTTGCAACACCCTTGCAAAGGTTAAAAAAATTAGAAAATTTCGGTAATAATGTGCATGTCATTAGAATGAACAATTTCTTTTGGGTCGTTTCCAAAAGTTATCAATTGATTTTGCTGATTTTGACACCCATTTTCGGTCGACTAACTTTGAAGGGGAGTTGACAAGTCGACAAAAAAGTCGACAAGTTGACACAAATCCGTCCACCTTTCTATAAAATCCTAAATCCACCCTCTGAACTAATTAATTTTAAAAAAAATCTCAATACCAAGTGGTTAAGAAAACACGCTCAGTAAAATGCTGCTTGGTGCCTAGTCAAGATTTTTTTGCATTTCTTTCAGCATTTTCAATTTAGATAAGATTTTTACTTTTTGTTTCATAGCATTTGCGATCTGCTGGACTCCTTATTGGGGCTACACGCTGTTCAGTTTCCAGAACAAGAGCAACGGCAGTGATCCTATCTGGGTCATCATCCAGAACCTCTCCCCCCTCAACTCGGCCGCTGACCCCCTCATCTATGCAGTCTTCACCACTAACCTGTGGAAGGAACTACGGTCAGCCAGTAAACCATTGTGTTCAAAACATTAGATCAAGTTAAAGTTCCCCCTGACTTGATTTCATTAAAAGCTCAAATTTGTTTCCTGCTTCTCATTTATCATGTTTCGTTGTTCCGACCACATGTGCTTGGATGCGGTAGTGTTGTTATCACCACATCAAGTCCATCAAAACATTTCAACCTGCTCAAAAGAGGCTTCAGATTTAATACTACTTTGGAGTCTAAATAATTTTCTAAAAACGGATTTCAAAAGACCCCTATATACTAAACACTGAGTCATTCTTTTCATTCTCATTTTTTTTCTAAAATAAGTTTAAGCAGGGACGGATTTCAGCGGGAAGCGGAGGGCAAAGCTTTATCGGGTTTTTAGAGAGTTTTTCAATGCAGCTCGAATCAGAACTAAAAAGACTGGGAATGGCACGATGAACTGTAGAACTAAGCTCCTGTAAATTATATTAAGTGTGTTTTAATAAAACAAGGCTGCTCGTATACAGGGGGAAGCACTGAAGGCTCCGACTGATCTTTAACTGGTCTCGATTAGTTTTTGGTAGATAAAAATGACAAAACATCAAATTTGTAGTGATAGACAAATGTTGGCGTTAAAATTTGAATCGTAAATAGAATTAGTACAACCATTTAGTTGGCAACAGTTCAACTTGGAATAAATTTGTGGTTCAAGTTAATTTGTACATTTTCAGCATCAAAGACAGTGACGAAATTTTTCTGCTCGGGTTGTTCTTTTTCTGCAGACAAATTTCGACTTTTGCTGATTAGTTCTTCACGTTTTTTCTTCCATATCAACTCAAAATTAAAGATGTCCTGAGCTCATTCTAAAAACGATTTGTATCTGGGCTTGTTTTCTGACAGGATACAAGGGTTTGAAAATTGTCATTTCGACCAATTAAGGATAAATTTTTCCCGGCATTTTTTGTGCAATTTACGCGTGAACGGCATTTGAATCCGGCTTAGATATCGGTGCAAACTGGAGAAGTTATGCTAGCTAGCTGTTGTAATTAGAATTAAGAAAGTTTTGAGATATTTTTTAAATCAAGACAAAACACATTTTAAAACGGAAAAAATAAAACAGTGTTTTTCATTTTTAAACGTTTAACGCAAAGTAGCTAGCCTTGTCTGGGCGGCGAAACGCGATGATAGGGGTATCAGCCGCTTCCCTTACTTGTTGTACCACAATCCTTAGATTTGGTTTGCGTGAATATTATGACCGTATACGTAAGTTGGTTGCTCAAGATTGCTCAGTTTTCTTAGGCAAAGTCTAAACTAAATATATGTTACGATGAACTTTTACACATGCCAACAATGCCCGTTGAAAGCAACAGGAATTCCATAGGGCTTTATCACTCATTATGAGAGGTATTTTATTTTCATTGCGTTATGCGCTCAGACTGTTGCAAAAAGCACGGACAAAATATACCGATGTACCGAGGAAACTCAGTTGAAGAAAGAATTGAAAGTTTGCTTGCTTTTCTTGAACCTGCAAACACTTTGAACAAAGTAAATTGAATTATTTTGGGTGACTGCTCGATTGCTAATTTCTACAAGGCTGCACCGGATCATCTTAAACTATTTGTGACAAAAAGAATAGATGATTATCTGATTTCCGTTTTTTTTTGACATATTTCTGTTAGATCATAGGTATTAGGGCAGAAAGGTAGACGCTGATGACACAAAAAATTTTCGCCTATATCCGCTTATTTGACAAAAACGCCATAGATAGGCCAGTAAATACACAAGAAGAACCGTAGAACAAAAGTTATTTTCAAAGTTTCAAAAGTGTAAAATTGTTTATTATGGTGGAACTTGAGAGGAAGGCTGCGTTTGAAACAGCCTTGATTGACGTTGGTATGACTCTCGTTTCCAATATTCCCAACTCACCCTGATTAGAAAGATGTTTATCAACAACAGGAATGACTAAGGTTATGTTAAAAATCAAATGGAGGATGAAAAATATAGAAAACTTTCGTTTCTCTACCGCGAACTGAGCAAACTGTAAAAAAAACTATAGAACAAGTTTTTGATATAAAAAATGGTGTTTGATTGATATATTCGAGGAAGTTTTTCCCACAGCGCTAGTTGTAGTTCAAACTATAATGAATGCTTCATGTATCTTTTTGTGCTTCAAATATGTTGTGACGGGTAAATGCACAGTAAAGTTCCCAAAAGAATCACTTTTTAGCAGAATAGAAAGTTCCATCCAAATTGCTTGAGAAAGTCAGAAGGGAGAAGTGTGGCTGTTTGCCATTTTCCGCCCACTTTTGAATTTCAGTTTTGAAAACCTACTTTAGCATCGCCGTAATGCAATAAAATTTGATATGGGGAAAAATTAACCATTGAGAAAAGATCTATTCTTCATAACTTATACCGTAAACCTAGACTTAGGCCTTTAGCCAAAATTACTTATTGAAACAACAGAAAAAAAATAAACAGTGAAGAGTGGGCGGAGGGGGAGAATGAATGGAAAAGAGCAGTTATTTACTAAAGTAAATAACTGCTCTTTTCCATTCATTCTCCACCTCCGCCCACTTTTCACTGTTTATTTTTTTTCTGTTGTTTCAATAAGTAATTTTGGCTAAAGGCCTAAGTCTAGGTTTACGGTATAAGTTATGAATAATAGATCTTTTCTCTAGATCAATTACCAGCTTGGTCACCTATCCTAGTTTCTAGGAAAATTTCCAGAATAACACTTCATGATATCAAAAGCAGGCATCAAAAAATATATCGGCATCACAAAAAAAAACTTTTTCACGTTTAGGGTTCAATTAAAAAATTCAATTTATATGCAGGCGGTGATTTAAAGTTTTCTCGAAACATGATTGATTTTTTGAGCTCTCCCAAGGCCACGCTACAAAAAATATGATGCGAAAAACGTCAGTACCGCATTCAAGTGTATTTTTTTATTCTACCCAGGGGCAGATCTAGGATTTTATCGAGGGGGCGGGTTTTCGAAAATTTTTCCAAGTTTTGTCGACCTTTTTTTTAGGTCAATCAAATTGGTTTTCCGAGCTCTCCCAAAGCACTAAAAAGTCCCTGTTTTGGCCAAAACTTATGTGCTTCAGGCAAACATTTGAAAGGACCGACCAAAAAGGGAGTTCTTAGGCACTTTTTGGGAAATTTTTAGGGTGTGTCCGAAGGCGACTTTAGAAAATTTTTAGGGTGTGTCAGCCAAAATTGGATATCTTTTCAAAAAGAGGAACCCTTTGGGTCGGCAGATGGCCGAATCCCTAAAATCGATTATATATTTTTAGTTTCAATTTTTATAGGTCATTCAAATTGATTTTCTGAGCTCTCCCAAAACCACACTATGGAAACCCCATGCTTTATGTTAAGAAAACGTGTAGGTCTCAGTTCTTACAATTTTAGGCCAATTTAATAGGAACCTGAGCTCTCAATTCAGTTCTTTCACAATTTTTTGGTTTTAATTCGCATTTTAACATAAAAAATCAGAAAAAACTTACAGACAAAATCATTTTTTAGACATTTTTTCACCTGAATTATTGTGGTCAGAACATTCGGTGCTACTTGAATTGGAAAATGTTTTATATGACTCGAAGAATTTCGGAAATTTCATGTTTTGTGAATAAAGCTGATTAAAACTTAAAATCCGTTCTCAAATCAAAATGAAAAATCAGCTAAACAAATTTGATTTTTTTTTCTTCCGAGTTCTTTTCTGTTAGATTTTCTACTCTCGGAGGTCATCTTAAAATGAAAAAACTGCGTCATAATTTTGAAGCCATAGCTTCAAAACAAAGCTATAGTTTTGATAATTAAGGAGGCGTAACTATACCTCCCCTTTGAAATTAAGGCAACAAAAAAGCGATTGGGATGGCAATTCATATCAAGGGTACTCCACAAGTTATTGGATTCACATCATTTGTTTTTCCTGAAAAGCATTCAACTCTCTATTATCTTTGCGTTTTTTGGTTCACATATTTTGCAATTAGAATGGATTTAATTGGCGTAGAGCGGAAAAGAGATGGTGGAATAAATTGGCTGTTTTTGCGAGAAAAAAAATTATCGAGAACCATCAGTTTCTGAGAATTTCTTGTTTTCCCACTGTTTGTTGGAATCCAACTGGAACCAAAAAAAATACATTAATCAAAAGCATGCTTGGATGCAATTGACTTTTCTTGCATCATTTTTTGTAAGAATTCATGCGGAGAGATCTGATTTGGCTCAAGCGCATTTGGAAACATTATCTTGGATATGAACAATTTTTATTCTATATAAAATTATGCTGGCCAATATGGGTTATTTCATGGTTGTTCCGATTTTCCTTACGAAAGTAACGGAATAATTGTGCTCGGTTGGTTTTTTTCTTCAGACAAATTTCAAATTTTAGTTAGCCATTGTTCAAAAAGTTTTGTTGTCCTGAGCTTAAATTTGGAAAGATATTTCTTCTGTGATCATTTTTTGTAAAGTTATGGGTGTCTAATGATTGCCATTTTGGCTAATTTGTGACAATTAACTCGCGATATACTTCGCGCTATTCACGTGCAAGCGGAGATTTAATCCGTCTTACAAATCAAATAGTTCCAATTTGGTTGAAGGAAGATCATTTGCCATAATTGATTTGTTACTAGGAGCGAAATCTTTATCACTTTGTACTTTATATGGTGTGTGGGATATGATTTTTAAAAGATCAAATTAAAAAAGACTGATCGTATATCAGGGCAAAGCCCTGAATGTTCCGACTGTCCCTTTAATTCATATCGAATAGTTTTTGGGAAAAGAAAATAGAAAATGTAGAAAACCTATACATTTTAGACATTATCAACTTAAAAAATTGAGTCGTGCAAAATTACTACGCCCAAGCAGCTAGCGTCAATTCGATTTGGAACGATATTTTGTTGTGCGGGATAATTCGCCACGCATAAATAATTCGCGTTACGTTCTCAGCATTATGAACAAGATCTTCAATAATTTTGTCCAGAATATGGCCAATTTGGCAATTTTCAAACCCGCAGAACTTTACAAAAAATAAAAGTTGGTGAAATATGTTTTTATATTTGAGCACAAGAAGTCAAAATCTTCAATGATGTATAATTTTTTTTTGTTTAACGCTCTTATTTCGATCGGCGAAAATAGACTGAATAAAAAAACCACACCGAGCATAAATATTCAGTTGTCTTCGAAAGTCGGAACAACCAGACGGCTCGTGTCAGGGCGAAGCCCTGGAAATTTCGACTGCTTTTTAAGGTCTATCCAGCAGTAATAACATGGAAAAATCAAATGTAAAAAAGTAAAATAAATTAAGAAAAAAAAGTTGAAAGCCATATTAAGTACAAAGTGACAACTTATGCTCCTATTAACAATTCAATTATGGCATATAAGCTTCCTTGAACCAATTTGGAACAGTTTTTAAAACGAATTCAATCTCCGCTGACGCGTTAATAGTGCGAAATATTTCGCGCGTTAATTGTCCCAAATTGGCCAATGGCAATATTTAAACTCCGATAACTTTACGAAAAACTATCACAGGTGAAATATGTTTTCGAATTTAAGCTCAAGAGAACAATACCTTTTGAATGATTTTTTGAAAACCGAAATTTGTCTGAAGAAAAAAAACCCACCCGAGCACAAACATTTCGTTACTTTCGTAACGAAAGTCGGAACAATAAAATTTAGTTTCAATTTTCTTTACATTTTTTTTCATGTTATTACTGCTCCAGGGACCTTAAAAGGCAGTCGGAACGTTCAGGGCTTTGCTTGGTACGAGCAGTCTTGTTAAATGATCAAATTTTGCTTTCGTTCAATTTTAATTACTTCCTAATTTTTTTCCAGCTGTCTGTTGGCTACTTTTTGTGAAGCTTCAAACGCAATCGGTCAATAACAACAAATTTTTCCTAATAAGTTTCCATACATGGGAAAAGAGCTTAGAACTTGCATGACCATGATAATCAACTTTCAAGTTGAGTATCTTGAAAAACAACGTTCACGTACTTCTTCTGTATATTTGACTTGGATATAAAAGTGCGTCCGCGATCACCATTTGATCCAGTTTGAGCTTTGATTGAGTTGCAATGATACTTTTTCATATCCGACATTGAATAAATTTTTGATTCGCATCATACTTTGATTTGATGATTTCAAAAAGCACATATTTAGCCAAAACAAAAAGACATTTTTGTTTCAGTCGTCTGAGAGTTGTGAAATTCTTTTGTGGACGTTGTATGGACCCCCAAACCCGCCCCGCCCAACGATTGAACGACACCCAACGACGAACCCTGAACAAAGTAACGTCAGTAAACGTCACAAACACAACTAACACCACCCGAGGAAGCCTCGCGTCCATCCGAACATTCTCGCGAGGCTCCGTCCCGCGGGACCGACATGAACAGGCGCCACCGGTGAATCTGCTGAACTCAACTTTTCCTTCCCGCTGCTCCCGTATGATGCAACGGGATATTTCCATTCCGAAAAAACCGGCCCTCAGCGTGATCGATTCCGAAAGCAATGAGCAAGAACAGTCCCGAATTTGATAGAACGCGTTTTATTTTTTCTGTAAACTCAACTCTCACAACTCTTTCAATCAACGTGGGGTCTACTCTTTTAACCGAAGGGCCGAATAGTCAGCATTTAAAAAATAAAACATACTTGAACACTGTGTCTAACTGAAATATCACGCTGATTTCTGCACTCTTTTGAATGTTTGAAAAGTGAATGCTGATTGCGGCTACCATAACTTTGGACATTTGGTCCTTTTGGCTTGAGGGATTCTTCTATTGACAGATCAGATTTTGTTCATAGTTAGTGCTCGCTGTTTAACAAAAATGAGAGCAGTTTGTATCGAATCTTAGAAGAATCAAAAACTTTATTAATCATTTTGCGGTTCGACCAAATCAACTTTCCAGACACTTATGAAGAGTGATGAAACCCTAAATGGTCAAAATTTAAAAACCACGTCAAAAAGTTCTCTTTGTCAAGTTTCTGGAAATTTTGTCCAAAAGTGATTTGTAATCGATAACTGTCCATCATTTTGAGCACATACTGGCACCACAGGCACCTTCAAAAAATTTAGGATTGCTCAAAAGAAAAACGAATGGTCATACTCAAAATTTTTTTATTAAATGTTTAATTCTTTTAATTTTCAATTTGAAGGACCTATATTAGATAGCTTATGTGTTTGTTGTTAAAGAGTAATAGCGAGATATTTTTTAGCGAGAAATTTCAAAAGCATTAATTGATAAATTATAAAAACTGTTAGCGCCGATTTAGTTAATCGATTTTGTGTCTATTTTGTAAATATTATATAACCAAAATGTGTCACTATGTAGTTTATAATACATGTTCAATTATTTGTCAAATAAAAGTTTTTGCGGAAGTACTGTTAATTGATCCAACCTTCTTATTTTAAAGACCTTCGTATTAGTAAAAAAAAACAATTTGGTTCCTACTTTCAAACAAGGTGACGGATTTTTTTTTGCTCGGGGTGGTTTTTCCGACTTTTTAACAATTATCCAATATTTTTTGTAGTACAGAGCTTCAATTTTAAAAAAAGTTCACCTATGATGACTTTTTGTTAAGTAATAGGGGTTTAAATAATTTCAATTTGGTCAATTTGGTCCGTTTGTTCGAGTGAACTCGGTCGAAACATAAAATGAACGCCTCAACCCGCGATTGAACATCTGCGTTTTTTAATTTAGTAGTCATACAATTTAGAAAATTTAATTTAGAAAACTAGTCATACAATTCAATTATTTGCTGCTGGGGTCTGTTTGTTTATTCTGTCCAACTTCCATATTTCCACATTTTTATTGAAATTTTTAAAAATCTTGGCTAGAGTTATAAGATTCGAGAGCAAAAATTTTTGGTCACAACTTTGAATAGATTCATAAATAGCCGAAGTGATTAAAATAGAGACTGATTGGTAAAAAATTCAATTTTATTGTGAATAAGTAGCAGAGTTTTGCCCAGACCACAAAAATTAGAAAAAAAAATCTAGAATAAAAAAGTTGACCACCTTTTTATCTGCAAAATTTTGGGTTTGCTAGAAATCGCCTCAAGAAACAAATTAACGCCTTCATATTACTCAATCAAGTGCTTTTTGAGCTTTGTTCTGTGCTGATAGATTGATTTTGCAAATTTACAAAATTTGAGCGGTATAAAAAAGAAGACCCCACTGCTGTATCAATAAGAACATTGGGGTAAAATCTAAAAGGATCTCTAACGCATCATAATCAGACCTGGGAGTTATGACGGAAAAAGGCCAAAATTTGGAGTTTTTTAAAAGGTCCTGCAAAAGCCAAAACTTGCCAATCAACCAAAAATCTTGTACAGATTGAAGCAAAACTGCTTTTAATAGGGCCCGTGTCAAAATCCCAGACGTATGTCTAGACTCCGAAGGTCACGCCGCGTCCAAATCCACAATTTTATATTTCATTCGGGCCTGGATTCGGACAATGGCTGCGCTTTTACAGTTGCGGCGCCAGTCTTTGGGTCACGCTGGTCGCGTCGTCTACGCCCTGGTTGCAAAGCTTGCGACGGTTTTTGAAGAAAAACTGGTGTTGGTGTTTGCATAGTTCTTTTGTCCGACCCCGCTCTAAAAACGACACTAATTTGAGGAAGAAAGTTTTTTTTGCAGTTTTTTATGAATGTGGTTGGAAATTTGTGTGCTATTTGCACAGCAACCGACTATTTTTCATGTTTTGTTTTTTTTTTTGCCTAAACTGAGCACTCTCGGGTCGAATAAAGTTGAATTTATTATCATTTGATCTAATTAGTCAAGATGTTTTTTTAATTGATTCGATGGAAATGTAATCATTTTCAGTTGATTTGCTCAAAAGGTAAGACGAACAGTGCAGCACAAGAAACAGTCTGAAGCACCTTGAAGAGATTTTTCAAAGCGTAAAGTTGTTCAGATAAGTTTTGATATGTTGATAATTTTCTGATAAGTTTTTTTGAAAAAAGTCGAAAAGTCGTAAAAATGCATAGCAGCCAAAACTAACTAAATAACTTAACACATTGCCCCAGATAGAAATTTGATTGCCTACAAAAGTTTCTAGGGTCAACTTGGTTTGTCCGCAAAACTTTGCGCAATCTCTAACAAGGTGATTAAATCTACATGTAATCTACATCTTTATTTAAATCTGTTTTCTTGCTCATTTTAATGTTCTCTTATCAAGTTTTTGGATGCTTCAAACTCAAAATCAATAAAATCAACCTTCTTCAAAATCAAAATCAACAAAATCAACCTCAAAATCAATTTGTCAAACTAACCCTATGATCTGAGAACAGTAAAGTTCAATAATTGCGGACCAAATCTGAACTGGATTTTCAAATGGACAAAACTGCTGCTCCAACTCTAGCCGAAATAGATAAAAAAGTTCATGTTTATGTGAATTTCTTCTCCACATAAAATTGAATCCCTAAATAACTACTTTCAATTTTGACCAACTAACTCGCATCCAAATCAAGCCTATCATAAAACGCCAACAAGACTCCTTGTATCAGGGAAAAGCCTTGAGTGTTTCGCCTGTCCGCTATTTTGTCGCCTTGTAATGGTAGGAATGATATATCACATTAAAACCCTTCAATCTTCATTCAAATGACCCTAAACAAATTTCAAAAAGTTGTCCCGGTGTCGAAAAAAAGCTGGCTGGAAATTTTTGAGTTTTAGTTTTTTTGCGCGAAATTGAAGCAAGCGAGCAGACGTAGCGAATAATTTTTTTAGGGCGCCTTCAGCGCCAATATTTTGAGGAGGGAGCGAACGCCGAAAAAACGCAATTTTTTTTTTGAACATTTTCCAAAAAGTGCCTAAAAGCGCCTTTTTTTGGCCTGTTTTTCAAAAAAAATCTGCGGCGCAGAAAATTTGATCAAAAGGGGTCTATTTAGTGATTTGGGAGAGCTCAGAAAGTCAAATTGGTCGACCTGAAAAAAGGTCGACAAAATTTTCGAAATTTTTTTGAAAACCCTTTCACCCCTCGAGAAAATCCTAGATCCGCCCCTGTTTAGAGCAAGACGAATTGATATCAATCAGATGGTATAAAAAATCCGTCAAAAACTGTTAGACTTGAGAAAAGGTCTGAAATTTTCTGAGAGAAAAACAAGTAGCACAAATTTTTGAAGACAATCTTTGAAACTCATCAGTTATTAACTCGAATTGGATTGCGTGTGACGGGGCAAGGTGAGTTTTTCAAATGAAAGAATCTTCGATTTGTGTAAGGGCATTTAACACAAAGTTATTTAACACTTTGTTTAACACAAACTAATCAAACTTCCTGAAGGACAGTCGGAACAATCAGGGCTTCGAAAGATTTTAAGCTTATTGTTACGGTTTGAAAAACCGCCAGAGCTTTTTCCCAGATTGCTGAACTCGGAGATTTAATTGAACGAAGCAGAAATGCCCAAGCAGCTCTATATTCCTAACGAAGATGGAGTTTTCGAATCACCCCTCGGAAGTTACGACCAAACTGCAGAGAAATGGTCGACCATGGTCGATTTTTTAGAGGATGTTTTCACCAAAATGCATCCAAACAGTAAAATAACTGAAGCAAAAACTGGCCGAGTTATAAGTTACAGTCATTTATTCGCTTCAGGACAAAATATAGCCAAGCAGCTTCGAGAATCGGGAGTTGCTGATCGGACTATATTACACATGGTCGGCGAAAACTGTCTTGATTGGTTGGCAGTTCTGATTGGCTCTCATTTGAGTGATTGCATAATAGCGGCTACCCATCCGAACTCGCCGTGGCCCGAGGTTGATCGGAACATACGGACGACTTGTTCCACGGTTCTAGTGATGACCAGAAAGTGTTATGAAAAGTGAGTTTTTTATTTCTTTCAGTGAGAATCCTTATTGAAGAAATGGTTTTGTATAAATTTGAGATTTAACAATTCAAATAAAATTACAAACTTACGAAATAATTACTTAACAATATCAAGCAGCGCAGAATGATCAGACCATGTTTTGAAAAAAATACATGAAGAAAATTCGTCCATTTTTTTAAATTAGTGTTGTTTCTTAGGCGTGGTGTAAAAAAAGGATCTGAATAGAACCTGAAATTTAAGTATATTTGATAGTCACAATAAAATAAGGAAACCATGCAACGGTTTTTGTCAGAAAATGACAAAAAAACTAACAAAATTCAAAAAATAAATTTCAAAAATTTATTTCAATTGTTGCAGAAATTGTTTTGAAGTTCTGTTATTTCAAAAATGGCGCTAAAAAACTTCAGTCGCTCGCAATCAAACTAAAACTCAAAATTTTCCAGCCAGCTTTTTTCGACACGGACAACTTTTTTAAATTCTTTTTAGTATCATTTGAATGAAGATTAAAGGGTTTTAACGTGATATATCATTCCCTCAATTACAATGATCATTCGTGGTAATTTTTTTGGTTGAAAAACAAAATAAGCCGGCTCGCTCACCTTATTTGTTCGAAATTAGACCAAAAGTTAAAATTTTCAAACAGGTTTTTCTCTAAACGGAGAAAAATTTTTCAAATTTTTTTTGTTCAAATCACGACTGAACGTGCTTTAATTTCATATATTATTCCACCCCTGCCTCCCAACTTTTGTGCCCTCCTTATTCAGATGGTCGAAATTACAAGTTTTAATAACTGTCATAAGACTACTGCTTCAAAAAAATAACGAAAACTACTTAATTATAGATTTTCGAAGGAAATTGATCATGCGTTTCTCACAAGTGTAATCATAACAGACGCTTCTGGAAATGGCGATACCTTCGAACTCAAGCTCACATCTATTCCTTGCGAGCAAAAATCGGAACCTCAATACGACAAAAGCGAACTAGTCGGAGTTTGCCAAATGCTTCTTTCTTCTGGAACTTCCGGATCACCGAAAGCAATTAGAGTAAGTCCGAGAATGATAATGAACTCTGGCATTATCACTTCTGCAAAGGGCGTTTTATCGTGCTCTAAAAATGATGTTTCGTTGGTCGCACAGCCGTTAGCGCACGCTGGAGGGCAAAACTTTGCCTTTCTTGCGGTGGCGTTCAACGGTCCGGACCTGTTAGTCACTGATTACCCGGGAACTACTGGGCTGCTAGAGATGCTGCAAAAGTACAAACTGACTCACATTTTTGCGGTGCCAGCGGTTGTAAATGCGATGGCAAAAGTCCACGATCTGGAAACTTACGACTTGTCGTCTTTGAAGTGTTTGATGATAGGCGGGTCGACACCAAACTTCGAAATGATCCAGCAGATTATGAAAAGATCTAACGTGACGTCATTTACGGCCAAGAATGTTTTCGGAATTTCGGAATGTGCTAATGCTATTTTTATTTCTAATGATTTCTTGGAAAGCTCTGCAGATTCTGTGGGCGTTTCACTTCCAAGTATTTCGTTCAAGATTGTTGACCTTGAAAACAGATCAAAAGTAATAACAGAACCAAATATTGAGGGCGAATTGCTTCTTAAGCAGTTCTATCCACACTTGTTGTATTTCAATGACCCAAAGAAAACGGCCGATTCTTTAACTGAAGATGGATTTTACACAACAGGTGATTTTGCACGACTCGACGAGACTTTCAATCTGTATATATGCGGCCGAATCAAAGATGTCGTGAAATACAGAGGCTTCTCGGTTTCGCCAGCCGAAATCGAAGAAGTATTGATGGAAAATGATTTAATTGATGATTGCTCAGTGGTTGCAAAACCAGATGAAAAATGTTTCGAAATTCCGGTTGCTTTTGTGGTTCTTTCAGATAAAGGCAAAGCAAAAACAGAAGAAGAGACTTCGAAAGAGTTGATTGAATTTGTTGCAAAGTCAGTTGCAGAGCATAAACAACTGCGAGGCGTTTATGTCATTGACAAGATTCCGAGAAATGGAAATGGTAAAATATTGAAAAGAGAACTGAGGGGTGCATTACTGAAATAATGTCATCCAAAAAAACTATACATAAAATATGATATAAAAGAATTATTTAATTGAGATACATATAAAAATAAACAGAGAAACAGAGCAAATACAACAAATGTACGCAGATAATGTCCCGATCGCAGTAATCATTGCAGGAAAACTACATTAATAATTTTGATTTTCCAAACCAAATTGAAGTTTTTAAAAATTTTCTGCTGTTTTTTTCTCAGCAGTGGGAAGGTCGCGCGTCAGGTAATAAGTAGTGTCAAAATGAAAAAATAAAAATAAAAAAATTATTTGAAGTGAAAAAACTTGAAAAATGTATTTTTTTTTTACTTTTTCCACTCTTCAACTCAACGTTTGTCAAAAGTTCACAGTCAGTGTAATTCCGTTCTAATCATGAGTTAAAAGATTTCAGTGTGATATTACGCTCTATCCCATCTGATTTTTGTTTTGTTGTATTATCTGATTTTGCGTCTTTGCGTTAAAAAGCACATGCAGAGGGAGAGAGAGAGAGAGAGAGAGAGGAGAGAGAAAGAGAGAGAGAGAGAGAGAGAGAGAGAGGAGAACGAGAGAGAGGAGAAAGAGAGAGAGAGAGAGAAAAGAGAGAGAGAGAGAGAGAGAGAAAAGAGAGAGAGAGAGAGAGAGAGAGAGAGAGTGTTTTTTTTGTCGTCGGGTAGTTATGGAAAACTGCGTATGAAACTGCGTTAAACTAAACTAAAAATCAATCACACAACCCATACTGGAATTTTGTCAATAACAATCGATTATATCGGATTTTTAATGACAAAAATATTGGACAAAATAATTGATTATAGATGCCAGTTTTAAAACCTAAATGCTTTTTTATTGGGCTATGACGATTGTCTAAAACAAAAAAAAATTCCAGCATAATTGTGTTTTTTCTATAAAAATTAATTGGTGGAGTGTTAGGCGGAGGGGGGGTTTAAGAGGAGGGGTAAGTGAGAGGTAGGTGGGAGGGAGTACAAATACTAGGTGGCGGTTAAAATGAGAGTGGGTAAAGATGTTGAGTTTACGCTGAGAAGCCCCCCTCCTCCAGCCACATTACGATGCCAAACTGTGAATTTGAGCATTGTAAGCGGATTCTGCAGCAAGGACGCTCCTTTTGATCTTCTTTTGTTCTTTAATTTCTTTTGATCTTTCCGACAAAATTTTTACATGTTCAAAGACTTGTCTCTGGAATCCAGGAACATACAGACACAAAATTGTGCGCCTATCCAGTGCACAGTTTGGCCTCGTAATGCACCCCCTTCACCTCAATCATTAAAAGCTCTCTCCCACCATTCAACAATTGAACCCCCACCCCTTACTTCAACGTTAGTAGGGGTAGTGGGCGAATTATAGGAAAAGTTGCACTGCCAAATTGAATAAGCGGAGAAAATTAATTAGTTCAAAAAATTACGTGAAAAACAAGATTTTACACAATGTAAGACGTAAAAACTGCACTAAACAGAAAACGAAAACAAAATAACTCTCGAAAAAATTTGCAAATTTCATCAATAAACCCAGAAAAAAAACTCATTATAATCGATTATAATGGAATAAATAGATACAAAAAATTTGGGGGTTATAATTCATTTTTAATCAATTAAGATCGATTATATTTGAATTTTATTGAGACTGAAATTGAAAATCCAATATACTCGATCAATATCCATGAAAATCCAGTGCGGGAGTTATATGCACTTTTAAAGGTTTGACAATAGAATGTGAGAAAGGAAACTGCATTTGATGTTTTCAATACAAAAAAAAGTTTGCAAAACTGAAATAAAGAAACTAAACTTGACAAAATTACAAAAATTCAATAAATTTGAAAAAACGGTAGTTTGGCTTAGCTAAATGTAAGAAGGAAAAGTTTTAGCTTTCATGCTCTCATTTCAATCATTTAATACTCCCCATTCAACAATTGAACACCCTCTCCCCCCTACTTCAATGTGAGGGGGAGTAGTTGGTAAATGATGATTTCTTACTGTGGCGATGTTAAAAAACAGTTATACAAAAAGTTATACTGCCAAATTGAAAAAGTAGAGAAAATTTTACATTAAGAAATATTATGTGAAAAATTAAAATTTATAAAGTGTAAGATGTAGCAACTGCACTAAACACTGAAAAAAAATTTGCAAATTTCATCAATAAACTCTGATGAAACCCAATATAATCGATTTTAATGAATTATAATGATATACAAAATATTGGGATTATAATTCATTTTTAATCAAAATAGGTCGATTATATTTGGTTTTTATTGGGACTAAAATTGAAAATCTAATGTAGTCGATCATTATCCGCGAAAATCCATTGCGGAAATTTCATGCACTTTTGACAATGGAATGTGAGAAGAAAAATTGTATGTGATGTTTTCATTACAGAAAAAAAAAACGTTTGCAAAATTAAAGTAACGAAACTCAACTAGGCAAAATATTGAAAATTTAATCACTATTTCGAAAACTTGATATATATTTTTAAAAAATGGAAATTTGGCTTAGCTGAACTTAAGACGGAAAAGTTTCAGCTTTCATGCTCTCATTTCAACCATTAAATACTCCCCATTCAACAATTGATCCCCCACCCCCTTACTTCGACGCGAGGGGAGATTAGTTGGCGAATGGTTATTTCTTACTATGGTGATGTTAAAAAACAATAAGATAAAAAGTTATACTGCCAAATTGAAAAGTAGAGGAAATTTAACATTATGAAATATTATGTGAAAAAAAAATTATGCAAAGTAAGATGTAACAACTGCACTAAACAAGAAATGAAAACAAAACAACTCTGAAAAAAAATTGCAATTTTCATCAATAAACTCTGCAAAAATCCATTATAATCGATTATAATGCGTTAATTGATTTAAAAAATATTGTGATTATAATCCATTTTTAATCAATTAAAATCGATTATATTTGAGTTTTATTGAGACTGAAATCGAAAATCCACTAGATTTGATTAATATCTATGAAAATCCAGTGCGGGAGTTATGAGTTATATGTACTTTTAAAGGTTTGATAATAAAATGTGAAAAAGGAAACTGTATTTCATGTTTTCAAAACAAAAAAACGTTTACAAAGTTAAGGTAACTACACTCAATTAGACAAAGTAACAAAAATTTAATCTTTGTTTCAAAAAATTGTTAACAAATTTTAAAAAATGTAGTTTGGTTTAGTAAACTTAAAAAAAAAGATTTCATGCTTTGAGCGATAAAATACTACGAGAACAAGAGCTCTTCTTACTCCCATTTTTAAAATAACAGAATGTTTGTATATTAATCTTCTCTAAGCACTAAATTAGTATCTCAGTGAAAAAAAAACGTTTTCATTCTGACGCAAATTAGAAATTTCAAAGGCGAAAAACATTCTGGTGGAAATAATTTCGGCTACATGTAATAAGAGTTTGGCTTTTTGATGCTTTTTTGTTAGACTATTAAAAAAAATTCTTCGTTGCCCCTCCAAAAATTGTTCCGATTTTAAAAATGTGGAAAAAAATTTTGTTTTCGAGTGAGTTTTAGCTTTATTGTTTTACAGTGTTGATTTAAATTAACCGGACAAAACGCGTTATACTTAAAATTTAAAACGCATTTTTCTCAAATTGGGTTGAGTTTAGGTGAAAACTTATGAAGACAAAACTTGCTTAGAATTTTAGCAGAATTAATATGGTGTAATTTTTTTTGCAAAATTCGGGTCCAAATTTTTACCCCAAAAATGGGTCATTTTGGCTTTTCTTAGTTAATCAAAAATTACGCCAAAAATACCCAGTCGATCACAGACATAATTATATCAAAGTGAGCCCCTTACGTAGCCCAACAAACTTTAAGAAGGGTATTTTCTCCAAAAAAAATTGCATGATGTTTGAAAATTGTTTTTAAATAAAAAGTTGGTATTTTGTATAGTAAAAATGACCTTTTTTGTCTATCAAACAAAAATTAGTTAACTTATACAATGTTTTGGAGAATCTACCCTAAAAAAGTTTGTTGGGCTACGTAAGGGGCTCACTTTGATATAATTATGTCTGTGGTCGACTGGGTATTTTTGGCGTAATTTTTGATTAACTAAGAAAAGCCAAAATGACCCATTTTTGGGGTAAAAACTTAGACCCGAATTTTGCAAAACAAATTACACCATATCAATTCTGCTAAAATTCTAAGCAAGTTTTGTCTTCATAAGTTTTCACCTAAACTCAACCCAATTTGAGAAAAATGCGTTTTAAATTTCATGTTTAACGCGTTTTGTCCGGTTAATTTAAATCAGCACTGTATTGTCTAACAAAATTTAGTGTCATTGAAACGGTTTTAGTAACATATATTTCTGAAGCTTCTTTGTTCGATTCGAATGACATTAGAAAACTTCAAAAAAAATTCTAAAAAAAAAGAGAAAAAAATTAGTTAAAGTTTTTGTGTTTTAGGCCTAACTCGAGCAACGAAAGAAGCAAACGATCAAGCTGGCTTTTATTCAAAGATTAAAATTGTATTTGAGCCGTAACACCAAGTTTTTTTTCGAGCCTACTTGAAAAAAATGTTGAAATACTACAAAAATGTGTTCTGCAGAAACTTGAAAAAGTTATCAAAAAAAACTTCAATCTTTTTTTTATTGTTTATTATTGTTCTAAAAGAATTTGTTGCCAAACATTCCTCGCTGACTATAACTAGCAAATTTATTTTAAGAAATGCATTTTGTTGATCGGAACATTATGTGCTTGTTGCACAGCAGCCGCATATTCTCCTTCAAAATTTTACTAGTGTAAGAAAAGTCTAAGTGTTTTTATAATTTACTGCCAACAAAAAGAATAGATCATTTGTTGTCACTGGTGTTGTCTTTGGTGACCTAAATTTTTTATACCTTCAAAATGGTATTGATAGATATGGTCTAATTTATAACTACAAAATGATAGATTCGGTGTAATTAGTATTTAGGTAGAGGAGAAGGACACAGAAAATCAAGCGTTGACCTAAAAAATTATTCAGACTTTTTGAACTGCGCTGAGTCTCAATCCTAGACCCGCTTCTGCTCAAAACCTCAAATTGAATTTTGAGCCAAAAGCTCATGAGCAAACTAATTTTGAGCCACAAGCTCAAGAGCAAACTGATATGGTCGCAGCTAAAAATAACCAAAACAAAGTTTCAAAAAATTGTTCCCCTTCCCTTTAATTCCCTCATTATTCAGGAAAAAAATGTTATAGTTCCACTTGAGAAACACTGTAACAAACAAGTTTAAATTTGCGTTTTCCTGACCGTCGAAGAAAATTTCAATGCAAATAAGAAAAGTTGTCAACCATATGAATGATTCAACCACATTCATTAGATTCTCAAAGTAACGTCGTTTTCTGTGCGTGGTTTGGTGAATAATTTATAGAAACGCGTAGTGATGCTGACATAATCAATAACATTTATCTTCGAAAAATGGAAATTGTAAGAAAAGAGATCAACCATATGAATGATTCAACCACATTCATTAGATTCTCAAAGTAACGTCGTTTTCTGTGCGTGGTTTGGTGAATAATTTATAGAAACGCGTAGTGATGCTGACATAATCAATAACATTTATCTTCGAAAAATGGAAATTATATAAAATCAGAAAAAATTCTGAAAATTGCGGATTTTTTTGCAGATTATTTTTTGATTTATTTTCAATGCCAAGGAATCATTAAGAAAACTTCAAATACTAGATCAAAACTTTCATGTGCTAGATCACTCAACTTAATCTGATGACTATATGTGCACCTGTTTTAACGTAGAAACAAAATTTATAGGCAAAGGAAGGTTGGAAAAGTGTAAGATTTCTCAACTTTCGAAAAAATACATCAAGTTAACGCTCTTTGAAATTCAAACAATTTATGATTGACACATTTTCGATAAAATTTAAATGAATATGAAAAAAATTGACCAATAAGTTAATTTTTTATTCCGCACAGAAATCTAAAAATTAAACTAGAAACCCACATTTTTAAAATTGACGCTTCATTTCCGTCATTCACGCCATTTTCGATTTCCTAATTTGAGAGAGTTATTTACTTCGCTTTTAGCAGTTGAAACTGAAATGAACTTAAATAGTGCATATGTACTTGAGTGGTTCATAAAGGCATTAATATGTATGAATGCACTTCTGTAGCTACTTAACCATTTTAGGACTTTTTCTTTTTAGAAAAATCAAGTCAAGAACTCTAGCCGTGAAAATCACTTCGTTCTTTTACTTCAGAAAACTACAAAACACAGAGACAAAATTTCCTTTACATTTTCAATGGTCGGCACAGATCCCATTCCCTTAGGCAATTTCAACCGCGCTTTGTGATGAGTATCCTACTCAGTCAATCGTAGTTAACGTAATGAGCTCCCGCTCGCAAAAGCGCGGACCACCTAGACCACTTCCTCAAACAAGCTCTAACAGAGCCATGGCGCAACAGTAACTTAAACTCCCTAATAACTTTTGATATAAATAGTTGTCATTAGTATTAAAGTGATTATTTTGATCACTCTAACACCTTCCAAATATTGAAATCGATTAAATTGAACTAAAAATAACTATTTACAACTTCACAGTATTTACACAATATCAGTGAAACCTATTTAAAACTCAACACACTTTCACAGAATTGGTTAGCAATCAAGTTAGGCAACATAATAGAGTCCGGCAAAAAAACCAATTTCCTTTTCAAAGTTTATAATCAACAATTTTGCCGACTGCTGTCAAGTTTAAGAAGGCGATGATACGTTATTTTGGTTCTTCTTGCTTATTTTCTTGCTAAACTGCTGTGCTTTAATTCTATTTTGAACCGCAAGTTCTTTTCTCCTTTTAGCCTCATCTGCTTTTTTGACTTCTTCCAACTGGTTGTACAGATTCTTAGTTCGTTGTTTGTTCGAATCTTCATCTGCCTTTCGGTCTTGTTTTGTCTTTAATTCCTTTTTGTCCTTTTGTTGTTGTTTATCTGCAGGTGGGCTGGTTCGAGTAGGGGGAGGGGCGGATTTTCTACCATTGTTCACGTTTGCAGACCAACGCTGTTTAATCACCTAAAAATATTGAAGATGAGTTTTATCAGATAATTATTGTCAACGCATTCAAATTTTGCTTGTGAATTTTTTAAACGTCAAATGTATAAATTCTTTAAATTTCAATAAACAATGAGCGTCAATTTGCCTTGTTGTTTGACAAAGACAAAAAAATAACACAAAACCATTCGAAGCTCTAGATTCATTCCGAACTTTGAAAACATTTTTACCACAAATTTGTTTACCACTATAAATTCAATGAATCCATTTTCACACAAAAACTTTCATCAAAATTGATCAACAATGCTTATTTATTTCACTAGCTCAGAAAAAATACTTGAAAAAATTAGGCAAAAAAATGAAAGTTAATGAACAGATTTTCGACTAAACGCCGAATAAAATTGTAAAGCAGTTTGCAGAGAAAGCAAAATGACAGTTTATTATAAAACATTTGCAACGCGTATTACCTGTTTTGGCGTCAAAGAAGTCGCATTAGCTGCGGGATTGTTTTTCACTTGTTCCTGTCGCATTTTAGATGTCGTCATGAACTTCTTCATTCTAGCATTGAACAGTTCCTGCAATGTCGGAACTTCCCTTTCTTCGTCTTCTCCAGCAAACACCACGTCTAATTTTTCTCCCCCCAAATCCTTCACCTCCGCATTTTCTAGACCATCAGCCATGTCTCTTGTCAAAATCGGCATTTCTCTGCTTCGTCTAAGAGAGGCCTCGGCTTCTACGGATCTCCTTACACCTGACGAGTTGAATGATAGAACGAGGTCGTCTTGGGTTATGTCAGTTCTCAAGAGTTCTTCCTCGTGCCGACGGAACGAGAGAAGCGAATCATTCAGTAGCTTGTCGCTCTATAACCAAAACATATATAATGCCCTAAATGAAATCAACAACAAACCGATTAGATCAGTAAAAAGAACTGACGGCATATAGTCATTGCATTGATCAAGTGAGTTCGGGTTTTTTCAAAAAAACACTATTTGTTACGTCAGGTCTAAATTAGTTTGTTCATTCTATCAAAAAAATCGAAAAAAAAATCACATGCATCGATGAAGAATATTAAAACTAAAATTGTCATATAATATTGAAAAACGAGCATTTCTGCTGTCTACCTTCAGTGAGTTGTCGACGGAGGGTGTTGCAGTTATGACTGATTCCCTGTCCTTCAGTAGCGAAAAGCCACTAACATCACAATCAGACATATTTGCTACCTGATTTTTCTCCTCATTTCCACAAGATCCAGAACCCTTTCGAGGCTGCTCAACCGAAAAAACATTCGATTCTTCGGCTAACGAGACATCAGCCTGCTGGTCCGACTTTCTCGAATCGTTTGTCCTATTAAACACCGAATCACCACCGCCACTTTCCTCCCTCCTCATTGGCTGAGACGGTTCACTTCTAATTTGACGACTTATTTCTTCCGTCTCCGAATTCGAAACAGGGTCTAGATCTGTAGTTTGAATTTTATACTGCTTCAATTGATCTGCCCACTTCTGAGTGAGCTGAATCAAATTAAAAGCTTCAGTTTCCTGAGAAGTTTCATGACTCATTCTAGTTTCCGACAGAGAGGCGTTAACTGCGTGAACATCCATCAAGCCCAATGACGACTGTGTCGTATCGTTACTTTCATTGATCGCACTCAATTCTAAGTTCGCTCTTTCCACTAAATTATGTCGCTCTTTACCAGGGTAAAAAGTAACCACCGACTCCAAAACGCCCTCCGATGCTCCTTTGACTGCCAATGTTGAAACCGATGACGCATTTGTTTCGGGCGAGTCTCCATCCAGGGTTTCGGGAGAACTATTTGTGAATTGATCCAGAGACTTGCTTTGCCCACTTGGCGCAATTGTTTCCAGTCTTTCGCCGCTTTGTTCTTCCAGGGTATCAGCTGATCTATTGCTGCATTTCGAATTTCCTTCTGGAGACAAAGTATGATCGCCGAGTCCGACAGAAATACCAGAGATCGAAAAGCGACCACTTTCCATTTTATCGTCACTCTTATTAGACTCGTTGTTGTCTTCATTGATCACAGCTTTGTCTGGCGAAGTAGTCATTGTCGAGTCGAAGTCGATTAGATCAATTGAAGGCATCGGTTCAAACTGCTGAGACGGATAGTTCATCTTCCTTTCAGCCAGCGCCGATGTTACAATTGGCGTATTAGATGTCAAGTTGCCGAGTCCCGGCGTCTTTTCCTGGTCACTTGTCAACGTTTTATCCAGTTGGGATTCCGGTGACATCGATACCATTGAGCTAGAACTTCCAGATCCCTGGACTTGACTCATAGTTCCCGCTGACCTAGTTCCTCCAGACGAGCTTGGAACTATGCCCGATATATCAGCAGCGGGTGTAACATGCGCATTTGATTTCACCTGTTTCTCAATTTGGATCAAATTCGATTCCGGGGTGATTGATATTTTACTCGAACCACCCGATGAGCTAATTGGACTCATTATTCTTTCCTCTCTTAGAGACATATTTTGGTTTTGTTCTTTATTTGAAGCGTACTTTGAGAAATCCACTTCCACTATTTCCATTTCATTTCCGTCTACAACTGTAAAAGATGAGGTAGTTTTTGAAGACGCATTCGAGAACCTGCTTGTATCTAAAATCTCATCTAGTTTCTGTTCTAGTCCCGAGTGCGGAGTCGAGTGGTCTTGGGGCGACGCTTGTGAAGACAGATTTGTTCCTGTTTCAGGAGTGAACGGATTTGTTTGATCACAATTGAGCCCTATTCCGCTTGCGGTATTATTCAAAGACGAAGTCTCTTTTTGACTAATCGGGGTTTGTATCGATGTCACAGTCGTCAAGTCCTGGTTTCCAATTGTTACATCCGAAGTCTTGCGACCTGCTCCTCGGATTTCAATTAGGCTACCCGATAGACCAGAGGGTGGCAAAGAAAATGGCGTCGTGTTTTGATCGGTGACAGGCGATATTGATAATCTTTGCTTTGATGTCACGGATTCAATCCGTGAAATGTTTATCACATCATCGCCGAAAGAAACCCTGCCAGTCGGAATGTCACGACGAGCAACGCCTTGAGAATTATCTTGAAGGTATGAACTATCAGCACCGCCAGAAAATTCTACGCTATCATTGTACGCCGCGGTAGGAAGATCAGAAAATTCGCACCGGCCTTCTTCATCGTAGTAAGAATTATTCCCCACATTTTCCGGGAAATTTAAATCCGAGATCGATCGGTCATATGCTGGGTTCCGGTTTGACTTCGAAGACGGGGGCAAATCCGCAAATGGTTCTGAAGTTTCCATGCTGTCATTGTCATATTCAATTTCCAAATTCTTATACTTCTGCAGAAGCCAGTCAATTGTCGGGTCTCCCAAGTTACTCCCGGCCATCCGAGTATCTACACCTGGACTCCTAGATCTTTCTCTGACTTGTGAAGCTGTAGAAACGGAAACTTCTCGCTCCGATGGGAGACGAATGTTCGGTCCATCTTTCGTGTACGATATTTCCTTTGTATAAGTTCTCCTAAAATCTTCAGCAAAAATATTCGTTTGCTGTTTCGGCCTAACTTGCAAATTTCCTAGAGGCGCCGAAAAATTGTCTACAGCTTCTACCGTACTCACAGCTTTAGCGATAAATCTAGGTTTGGGGACTTGGAAACCGATTTGCGGGTAAGCTACATTTTCCATACTGTTATATACACTTGCTTCTGAAGCTGGTCCCAGCTTACACACTGATGGGTTGGTATTCAGTTTCATCATCCGTTCAGGAGGACTAGCGTAGTCTCTCGATGTTTGAACATCGGAATTTGTGACGCTCGTCATTGAAATGGATGTTACGTCACTGTCCGATGACCCAAGGCGGTAATTACGTAACTGTGGAATCGACGGTGAGTCAAATACAGGATAAGGATTCTTTCTTAACACATCAATAGGTTTCGCCAACGCTGTTGATGTCAGTGTAGAATCTTTTCCAAGGTTAAGTAGTTCCTTAGTCCTCTGACTAATTTGAGTGATTTGCTGACTGGAGTTTGATTCCCTCAAAGCACTCAAATCGGTTTCAAAGTCTTTCTTTTCTTTCGATCGATTTAATCCAACGTCCTTCGTTGGAGCACTTTCTTCGCTGGAGTTGCTTCTATGCGTATACAAATTGAGTCCTGAAATCGGAGCAGTCTTCCGAGACTGGTACTTCGCAAGCAACTGCTGGTTTTTCTTTCGAATCATTTCCAAATTCTCCTCAATTGACAACGCAGACAATTCTCGATGATTGACAGCGTCCAAGTACCTCGACACAGGACTTGTATCTCGATCGCTTCTCAACGACTCCAGAGTGACGTTTGTCAAATCTCCGTTCGTTCCATCATTTCTAGACGGAGATCCGACTTGAACGCAGGCTTCGCTTCTCAGCTTGGCTTTGAAAGTTGGTCCACTGGTTATGATTGGTTCAAAAAACGCGTCAATGCCTCCAGATTTTATCCCAGATTTGCTTTTCATAGCACTTACACCATCTACATCTCGGCACGGAACCTCCATACTGATATCCAATGCATTGTCTTTCAGATCTCGCAAGTCTTTCGCAAGCAAGTGCGGCTCGTATGGAACCGGGGCAGGATTTATCTCACTTCCAGAACTCACCTCTTTTTCGTGAATCTTGGATACCAACTCTGAGGTTTCGTTATAAGCATGACTTTCGGCAGTCGTAGCGTCGCTGGCATTGACGTTGCCTGTACTTTCATCCTCAAATGTTCTTTCGTCAACTGGGACCAAAGGTTCAAATTGTTCAATCAGTTTAACATTTTGCCTCGAAATTTGATCTCTCTGATGGTTTATTTTCGCCAACAGTTTCTGTAACGGCTGTTCATCTTTAGACTCTTGACTCACATTTTGGCTATTGTTATTAAGATCCGACGACTTCTTTTTTACAACTCCAAAGAGCGGATTCGCCTGAGTTCTCGCGGTATCATTGAAGTCCAATGACACTGCGCTTTCCTGACCGTCATCTTCCGTTCCCAATGCTGACATTTGCAGCTCCACCGCATCCGATGCTCCTGGTTTTGACGAATATATCTTCTCAAATGCATCTTCTAACTTATTCTGATGATCGATCTTTTCTTCTTCGCGTCTATGCGGTGGTAAGAATACATTTTTTGAGATCTTCGCAACGTTGGCTTGACGCCTCGCCAAGTCTTGTTGCTTCATGCTTTCTAGCTGACTACACATTGATTCGTATTCGTTTTCAATTTGAACCTGCTGTAATGCCGCCATCCCTCTGAGTCTAGCTTTCTCCCGTTGCTCCTGCATCATAACCATTTGACATCTTGTTTCGAACATTTGTTTTTCGTCTTCTCGTGTCGCAGCCGCTCGACCGTCTTCTTGTTCCATGCACATCTCATTTTCGACATAAGCATTAGTCAGCTGAACGTACGTTCCAAGATGTCCGTCATAGTCAATAACCGGTACGCTTTTGGGCACATTTTCTTCAACCTTGGATAGGCTAGACGACAAAGAAGCAAGAGGATCTACCGGTTTTGGCAACGAAGCAACCATGTTAGCTCGCTCCTTTTCCAGTGCCAGCACTTTTTCACGCGCATATATATGTCTGTTCTCGTTCTGATGATTGACATCACTTTCGAATTTCTTTTGACTTAAGGCTTCGTGATGTCTTTTGATCGCCGTTTTGTGGTTCTCAACGGCTGCTTCTTCGCTTTTTCTGCTCTCGATTTTCATTCCTTCTGAAACCGCTTTGGCTTCATTATGAGCTTGACCCATCGCCCTTACAGACTTTAGATACATTTCTTGTAAGAATTTCTCGCGTTGCTTCTTCTTTTGTTCAAACTCTTCGGCGAACTCTCTCGCCAGTTTCTCGTATTCACTATCCACTGTTTTCTTGACCGACTGTCTTGTTTTGGCAGCTAGTGCCTTGGATTGTTCTCTCACTTGCAGCAATCTCAGCTTCCTCCTTCTTTCTTTCTCCTCCTGAAGCATCCTCGCTTCCTCATTCGGACTGGGTCTCAAAAAGACCATTTTTGGTGGGAGTTGATGAATTTTTCTAGATGATGACAGAAAACATCGATGACTATATCTAAAAGGAATCCATATTCAAAATAAACTTATGAAATTATGTCGCATTTGCTTTATTTCTATTTTTTCGTTCAAATTTTTTCATCACACCACGCAGAAAAACGACACTAATTTGAAAAAAATGTCATTTTTTAAGACTACGGTCGGAACATTCTGTGCAACTTGCACAGTAACCGGCTATCCTTGTATTATCATTTCAAATTCGTGTGGGAATACAAAGAATTTAACCCCAAGGCAACTTGATCAACATACTACTAGGCTAATCTAAATTGCACTGACACGGTGGCTATGCAACACGATTCAAGACCATGACATCAATAAAATAATTCATTCTTTCCTCAAATTACATGCGTAAACCCGCTTCATCTGACTCTTGATTCAATGAAAATAGCTAGCACAGTTAAGATTTTTGTTTATACGATGCCTTTTTTGACGCATAATAGTCAATTTTAGTTATCCTCGTCCACCTCAAGAGCCTGTAGACTCACTATGATAAATAACAATTCATTGTTATCTTCACTTACCCTCGGAAGAAGAAAAGAGCTGTAAATTTGGTGTAGTTTCTTTACACCACTGTTATCCCACATAACAGTGGCGTAAACAAAATAAGGTGAAATTAAAGCTTTTATCTTCGTCCGAGGGCGGGTAAAAAGACAAAAAAGAGCGTGAACACGGCAAATATAGCAGTTTACTGTGCAAGAAATCCTGAGAGTTCTGACCGCTTCAAACCCATAAAGTATGAAAATGGAAAAGCTATTTGTTCCAGCTACTTTATCGATTATTAGTGAGAAGCATGAAAATTTCAGGTAATAATTTACATTTTTGTGACAATTTTTGTTTATGTAAATCTGAATCAAGACACGTGCTTTTTGAAATGACCGGAATAGTAATAGCTTCTTGCAAGACCCTTACGACTGGTCACATAAAAGACTGTAAGACAGCGCAATTCAATCTGACCCTTACGACTGGTCACATAAAAGACTGTAAGACAGCGCAATTCAATCTGAAAAATTCCTCACAGTAAATCGATCAAAGAAGCCAAAACTTGAAGAAAAAAAAATTCGGCACAGATAATTCTTCAGATTTCGGCTCTTTTTCCTTTTCTCCCTCCACCTCATACGAGCTTCAATATATTAGTGTAACGAGTGGTTTTACGAGGTTGAGTATGGAGACCAAATATGTTTGTCGTGGACGTATTAGTCTGTATGTAAATTTTCATAACAATCGGACAATGTGGTCAACAAATTTACATGTAAAAATTTTCAGGTGGGGGGGGGGGAAGAAAAAAGAAAAGAGCCCAGATTTCTATTGCCGCTCGAACCAAAGCTTATTGGACTTCAATGAGATATATCATTCAACTTTATGCAATCATTCTTTCTGGTACCTTGATAACCTTTGAGGACAACTTTTTTTTTTACTTTCTGGTGAAATGAATAGATTTTTTTGATAACTACGAATTTATATCGCAAGGATAAAATCGGAATGAGAATGATAGAATGTGGTCGGAAAAAAATCCATTTTGCCTTCAAATACCAAAAACTTTGAAGGCATCGACATGTGATACAGAAGTTATCACAATTTAGAAAGTAAATGCAAGTAATTTTTAGTAGTTCAAAAATCGCACTTTTCAAATAACGAAACTTTATAAACAATAGGCACATTGATAAGTATAGTATAGAGCAACAAACTCATTTTCAAACAAAATAAGCCGATTACTGTGCAAGTAGCACATAATGATCCGACCAGTCTTATAAAACACACAATTTTTTTTTCAAAAGTAGCGTAGTTTTTTCAGCGTGGTGTGATAAAAGGATCTGACGCAAAACTAGAATTATGGCATATTGGACAGTCATAGTAATATAGGCAAATTAGACGAAAATTTTTGTCTAAAAACATGACTAGAAAACCAAAAGAAAAAATCAAAAATTTCAAATCGGTTTTTCTCGAATTTTTTTGGTAATTTGTTTATCTCTGTCGAATTGCGACTGAAAGGACTCCAAATTGGTATATCACTCAAAAGCTCTCCATGATTACTTGTGGTATCTGATTTTGCATGGAAAACAAAAACAAAAAAAAAGAAAAAACACTAAAACACACCTGTATAGAAAGTTCCTCCCAATTTTCAATAGTCGAAACAAGACATAACAGAGAGTTTAAAAGGATTTGTAAACTTACTAAAAGTCAAATTATTTGTTAATTTGACCACTTCCTCACGGCACTGCAGACCTCACGCTTCAGTGATTTTGTAAAAACTATCTTCAGAAAAAAAATTGCACTCAATTTGATATCATTCGCTAATCGCAATTCGGAAGTGCAACAATTTTTGGTTTTTCTTATCAGTCTAATTGAATGTGACCAAATCTAGAAAAATATACACAGGTAACCGCTCGAAAAAAATCAAACATCTTCATTCAAATATATAATCAACCCAATTTGAGAAAACTAGATCAAAAGGTTATTTTTTTCATTTCGCTCGAAAACCTGAAAACTAAATTCCATTTACGAAACAAGAAGTCGTTCACGTTTTTCGTGATCTTTAGACTTTCGCTGTTCTTTAGTGGAGTTTGCCTTCCTTTCAACGAAGAAAATGAGCGGAACTTAAAACAAAATCAAATCGCGAAAATGTAAAAAAAAATTGAGCCGGATTAAATTTAATCACTTTTCCTTTAAAAACAGAACGACCTATACAAGAGGCTGAACTACGTTCATCGACTCTTAAAAATATGGGTAGAGTACTTTAATCATGATTAAATTGGCTCAGTTACATGCCTGAATATTAGGCAGGGTTATTCAATAAATTATAGGAAATATGCAGAAAAAATTGATGTACAAATTTCAATTGTTAGGATTGAGAATAATTCAATGTGTAAAAAGACAAAAAAAAATAAATTAAAGCAATTCATTGCAGTCAAAACCCAACACTCAGACTTAAATTATGACTTCTTTCCGAAAAAAGAAAACAGACTGCCTTGATTCTTTTTTGCATTTCCACCTCCAGATTTCGCAGCTTTCGGTTTCGGCTTATTGTTATCATCGGCCGGTTGGTTTCTGAATATCATTTCAGGTAGTTTAACTGAAGCGTTATTTGAACTTGACGTCTTCAAGTTTCCATTTTTATCAGTCTTAGAAGATGAGTCATCTTCTTCTTCGCTGCACGATTCCTCTTGCCATACTTTATCTGTGATCAGGAATCCATCTTCATCAACATGTGTAACATCCTTCAGAACTTTCCTTCTTCGTCTTACTTTAGTGATAACTTTCTCAGGTTCGCTTATCTCCACTTCTTGGTTTTCCTTCAACGGCGATTGGTCGCCTTGCTCGCTTTTCACGTCCGACTCCTCTTCTTGATTCTGATTGGCAGCCGAGTGATTCATTTCTTCTTCGTCGGAGTCGTCCATAATTACTCGTTTATGTTTACCAGTTTTCTGTTTTTGTTTCTTTTTAGGGGGAGATCTTTCTTCGGTTTCTTCGTCCGCTCCTCGTTTTGGAACTGTCTCAGAGTTGCATTTTTCCGGGCTTAGCTTTTCAATTTTGGCAACCTTCGGTTTCATTTCCATGTCTTTAAATGCCTTTCCAATATCACTTCCCTGTTTTTTGGTCTCTACTTTCTTTGTAGCTTTGATAATTGGCTCGGATTTTGTTGGTTTCGGTTTGGTCGTCGACTGTGAAGAATTTGTGTTAGCAAACATTGATTGCACGGTACCACTTTTAGGTTTTGAGGTATTTACAGCCGGTTTAGATAATAACGTTGATGATACTTTCTGACCTGACTGTTTCGAAGAACCAGGTACCGGATCAAGGCCTTGGTCTTTTGGGTTTTTAGAAATATTGTCAAAAGGACATTTTATTCCTGGTTTAGTGTAGTCTAAGCTCTCTTGTAAAGGCAAGCAAATAGATGATAGTTCTCTTGGCTGAAACGATTGCAAACTGAAAATTTGAGTTGACAAAATTTCACATTCATTAATTTCGTCCGGAGATTTTTTTGAACTGAGAGTCATTTTCAGTTTTTCATCCAGCATGTAAGACAAACAATAAATTGGTTTCACTTGCGATTCATTTTTGGAGCAAAACTTTTCCATGCATTTTCTGGCAAGATTTGGGGAAATGTGTTCGGATTTTGAAAGCCACGAAACTGTTGCAATTTCTTTTTTGTCCAGCACATGCTCAGAAAGTGTTTCCAAGACCAAATTCTCGTCAAACTGTGAATCGCTCATATTAGTTAATCTGAAAATGATCTTTTTTGATATTTCAGATACCACTGTTACTTGGCTATCAGACCCTTCGTCGGATCGCTTTAAGTATATCCCCCTTTTTGCAAAGGCGGTGGGGGATTTGTTGCTAGGTTTAAAGTTCTAATATGCTTAACCATTGATTTATTTCGTTATAGGGGGATATTCGTTACTAGGTACCCGAGGGGGACACAGTTAAAGAGATCCTCTGGCCAGCAAAATTTCAGAAATCTTTTTCTTACGTCTACAAAAATAAAAGAATGCTCAAATAGCTTTATTAAAACACCCACCATGATATTTGGAATATATATAACTACATAACATCAACATACACATCGAATCGTCAATGCCTCAGTCAGATCTTAATCATAATCAATCCATTAGGAAGCCAAACCGCCATCATAACACGCATTCAATACTTGAATCTAGGAACATGTGCTCCAACTACGAAGGAAAAGACTGCACAAACATGATCAATTTCTGCATAACAGCTGGTGCAAACATATAGCTCTATTACACACGCGTTTTAAGAGTCAAACAAGTCCAATGTAAAACTTGCCATCTTTATTTCAACCATCGTTTTAATGCATGGAACATCGGGAATTGTTTGCTCATTTAAATATTGGATAAAAGAAAAATGACGAATGTATTTCAGTTGCAGTAAGAACGCATGAAAACTGGATTTAAAGGAAATTAAATTTATAGCTCTTGTTATTATCAATGTAATAATTTATATTGAAATATATGCACAAATATGAAAGACAGGAGGCTTCGACTCAGTCTAAATTTATCTATCTGAGCAAATTAAAATCGGTCTTGTCTGGCAAAGCTTCTCTGCGATAACTATTAATCCTCAGTTAAATAATAATTCTTTATAGTAAAACTGCCATGACTCTACTATATCGACAAAATATGACACATTTAAACAGTTTCAAAACTTATCAGATGATTCAAGGTTACGATGAACTGAATAAGAAAAAAATTGTTGGCCGTTTGATTCTAGGAATACACAAAGCAACAGTATAATAAAGTTAAGTGCATCACATCAAACTCTGTCATGATTTTGAAGACATGTACGTCTAAGTGATGATAGTCGCATTTACATTTAGGTAGCAAGCACTTTATGTACACAGATCACTTTTAGCTCTGATTAGAACAACAATGCCCCCATGCTTCCCACTTCCGCTTGTTCCTTGACGAAGATCTCAAAGTACTGGTAGATGATAGTCACCGCCAGTAAGATACCGGTTCCGCTTCCGATCGCTCCCATTAAATCCGCCATAACAGACAAAGCTCCAATACACAGACCTCCGAATGCTGCTGCGGTCGGAATGTATCGGTTCAGCTCCTTGACCATTGAGGTCTCTCGGAACCCTCTCATCACCATCGACTGCTCCTTCAGTTGCTTGGCAACATCTTTGGCTGAAGAACCAGACACATCGATCCAGGTCTTAGAGAAGAATGCACAGGATCCCAACATAAACGTGATATACAGCAGGGCATGGATAGGGTCGGCCATCATATGTTCCAGATCTTCTGGAGGTGATAGGTAGTAGCAGAGGCCACCGGTAGGGTAACTTCTGTTAGGTCCACCAGCTCCACCCTCGCTCCAGGCTCCCAGAAGATTAACAAAGAAGTTACCTCCAAAACGGACCGATAGCATCTGAGAAATGAAGTACAAGTTGGAAACCAAAGCACTCTGCAGAATGATCGGGATGTTTGAAGTGTAGAACAACTTGATTGGGTAGGAAGAGTTTTGTCCTCGGTAACGGGCAGACTTGATTGGCAGGTCAACTCTGAATCCCTGGAAGTAGATAACGACAGCAAACACGAAGACAGTTGCAACCAGGTTCATCAAATTTGGCAGGTTCTGACGGTAGAAAGCCTCTCTCAGAGCTCGAACTTTGTCGTTTCGTGTAGCCAGTAAGTGGAAAAGAGCGATGATTGCTCCCTCAAACTCAGTTCCTCGTCCAGTATTGATAGTTGCGGGGCTGAAAGCCTTCCATACGATTGTTTCACAGATATTGGTCGCGATGAAGAGTGAGATTCCTGATCCCAATCCGTATCCTTTTTGCAGAAGTTCGTCCAGCAGCAAGACCAAGAGACCAGATACGAACAGTTGAATTACGATCAGCAGACAGACGCCTGCTCCGATGCTGTAGGGGTCTCCGTACATGCCAGTCATGACGTACACAATAGCCTGACCTAATGTGATGATCATTCCAAATAGCTTCTGAGCTCCATTGAACAGAGCTCGGTCTTTCGGTGTGTCGCCAACTTCGATAACCTTAGCACCCGCTAGAAGTTGCATGATGAGTGAAGATGTTACAATGGGTGAGATACCAAGTTCCATCAAAGTTCCTCTGTTTGAGGCCATGATAACTCTCATCCAGTAGAATGGATCAGCTGAATCTGATGACATTATGCCAAAAAGAGGAATTTGACAACATACCAAAAAGATGAAAAGCGTAATCGCAGTCCACAGAACTTTCTCGCGAAATTGAATTTTACGTTCTGGCTTTGCCACTTCTGGGATTACAGCACAAAACGGCTTGAGAAATTCAAGAAATTTGACACCCATAATTCTAAAAAGTTCATGTTATCAAAAATTTTCAAAAGTTTTTCAAATTACATACATTAGTGAGCAACATTTAGCGCAAAATCAGGCTTTTTTCTCTTAACGCCTAATTTCAAGGACAATTTTGGACAATCATTATGAATCTAGCTCCTCCAAAACTCTCATTTTTTTAGTTCAAGCACTTACCAGTTTATTTCAGGTCTGAACAAAGCTAGTTTCCACCTTTCGAAATAGGTTTTCTACCGGAGAGAACACTTTATAGAATACAACTGATAATGCGATAAAACATTTTAAAAGGGAAAACTAACTTAGAAAGTTGGAAATGAGAAAACTTTTAATTCTTCTATACAATTCAAATATCTGTCCAAATGCTAGTACTGAAAATGCTGATTTCCACCTTTGATGAAAAAAAGTCAATTAAAACGGGCCCTTCCGTCATGCGACGGTACGTGCACAAGTTGGATAGGGCCATACCAACGCTATATAAATACATCGGCAAAATTTTATGAATAAATCAAGTCCATTATAATGCATCAAGAGAATTGTCAATTAAAATCTACCCTCCTCGATTATAGCATTGATAGAATTGTCTATGTTGGATGTAATTTTAAGATCTTTGCAACCCCTAAGGCAGAGGATTGAACTTCTCAGAAGTGCATAACTTATTTTTGTTCTTATAAAGCTTCTTGTGTCCGAGTATGATTCATTACGTTTCTCGCATAGTTTCTCTGCTAGTTTCTGGATGGTTTTGTAGAGCCTGGTGCTGCTCCTGCGGTACACACAAATTTTAATGCATTCTCAAAAATTAGTGGAACAAAGCTGCTGTGTTCCACATCCAGAGTTCTTTGTTGGTATTTTAATGTTTTGACACTCATGATATTTGTAGGCGTCAGCTATAGTTTTGGGGCAGGATTTAGCACGGGGGTTGAAAATTTTTACATCGAAAAAGGTTCGGCTGAATCGGCTACCCCAGAGTCCATTTGCCTTGCTGTCAAGTCGAGCGTCATCTTCAGTAGTGGTTGTTTTGTTGTGAAAGTTTTCGCCTTCCAACGATTGAAGTTTCGGCTCTATTTCAAGATCAGGGCATACTTCGTCCAGAAGTGTCGCAAAGGTATCGCGAATTTCATTTTCTTAGGTGAGTGTATCCATCTTTGGGACAGTGTAGTGAGTGCGTCAGTGTGAGCGGTTGTCCACTTGGGCATGTATGTGGGGTGTTTGGTGGTTCCCATCCATATCTCAGATGTAATCCATCTTTAAACTCTGATTTGTTGAGGGAAAATTTGTATCTTTTAAAGAGTAGCACGCTTAGCCAATTTGAGGCTCCTTTCTATGACGCTAGATTTATTGTCAGTTTTTTTTTCTGATGAGCAATTTTCCATAATTTTAGCCTTTTTTGAGAGCGTGGTGGTCTGTCTCTCAGCTTTGATGTTTCTATTTATCAGAGTTTGTTCAGTTTCAGCTATTCCTGCATCACTGTTTCCTAACGGATCACAAATGGCTCGTGACCACTCATAGTTTCTGGAAAAGTCCGTGTTACTGAGGAGGTCTAATCCTCCCATTGTTGGTGGTAGTGCAAAAAAGGCCGCGCTCTTCATCGGTTATATGGTTTTTAACCAGTAATACTAAAAAGTAGCTGATGTTTTACATTTTTCTCAATTTCATCCACTTTTTTAAATGCTTCCGGGGTTTTTCTGGTTAGGAAGCTTAATTTATTGTGAACTCATTTTGTGTAGCAGGAGTACGCATTTTGTGGTGATGTTTTAACTATTTTGGAAAGTTTTTCAATTAGAGTAGCTGTCTTTTCAATTTCGCTTTCCATGTAATTATCGGATGCTGATGGTGTTCCTATAACCAATCCATGGACTCTAAAACCGTCTACCATTGTAATATTTGAGCCTTCGAATAATTTTTTGGTGCAGTTACGGCGGTTTTCTTTTACTACTGGTTGACACTTGGAAGGCTTCACATTGTATCCGAAAGCCTTTCCGTGCTAATCCAGGTTGACCAGTATTGCGCGGAGACTCATACGATCACCTGCAGCGCTTCCATCATCTGCGTATCATTTTTGGGTGACATTTGGTTTTTGCAGGAGCTCAATCAGTGGGATTATCTCAATTACGTACATAGCCATTGCGAGGGGATCACCTTGCGTTGTGCCTTCAGTAGATGTCAAAACCGTGTTATTGACATATAGATTTGAGGGATGTTGATATGAGTTGACCAGCGCATGATGTAGCGCCGGACAAATGATTTCTATATTTTTAGAGCAAGTTGAAGGCATTTTCTGAATCAATAAGTAGTATGGCGTCTCAAACTCGTTCCTCAAGCTGTGGATAGCATATTCGATTCCACACTTCTGGCCTAAGCAGAGTTGGAAATTTTTTCCGAGATCCTTAGAGTCTGAGTTTATACTTTGGGTGATTGTTTTGCCAATTATTAATCATAGAACTTCGCCTATGACAATGGGCCGTACCCCTAGATTTTTGACCAGAGGTATCAGGCGACACGAGTTGTACGCCGTTAGGTTTTCATGGGGGAGAACTTTAGTTGCTATTGTATAGGATAGTTTAGCAATAGTTTTGCAAAGCTCAATGGATGTCTGGTTGAAGTGAGATAATATCCTTCTCCATTCGCAAGCATCTAGACCTGAGGGACAGTGGCTTCCGTGCGTTTTCAGGGTTGATTTTCGAACTGTCTGGGCGTTTATTTGTTTTAATATAGAGGGGTGGTATGGCAGTGTGTCTTCACTTTCTTCAATTTTATAGTTAGTGTTCGCTGTTCTGGCTTGAGGGTTTTTTCTTTCAGGATACTAAGGTTTGTTTTTCCTTCAATGACTTCGTTAAGGGGAGTACTCCTTCTGTTTTCTTGTCTAAAAGGCAGCCAATGGCGGCAGATATTTTGCCTGTACTCATTAGTTTATCGAATTGCTTAACTTCCTCGTTTATTTCGGACTTCTTATGTTTCAAATGTATAATTTGGAGAGCTTTCGCTTCAGTGGAAAGTTCGTCTAATATGCCTTGCTTCAATAAAATTATGCGGCGGCTTAGTGTTTTAGAATTTGATCCGCTTGTTTCTGATTTAGTTTTGGGGAGCAGCAGATTCGGGAGAATCATTGCTGCTTTCATTTGATGTTTTTTCGACCAATGACAACAGCTGCTGGTTCAGTAATTCTATGAATTGGAAACCAGGCTTGTTCTTGCTTAGAATTATGAAGCGCGGTTTCCAGTTAACGACATTTTTATATATGTGATTTTTTTTATTTTCAAGTTTTTGGTCGATAAGTTTCCAGTGGTCGAAGGAGCCTGCTGTGATTGCTGGGGGCAATGGATAAGATTGTTTTGCGTTGGGCAGTACGTTTGTTTCAGGTGTTGATGGTGATGTTTCTTTTTGAGTTGTGATGGGGCTGTGCTTGTTGATTTTTGCGTTGTGATGGGGGCTGTGCTTGTTGGTCTGTTGGTGGAGTTGGGCTCTTTTGCAAAGTTCTCGGGATTGCATTGTATGCAGGAGAACCCATCGTAATAAAAATTGCTGCTCTGCAGCCCGCTACATGAGACATGGATTTAAGCTTTGCAAATGACACACCATATGCCTCCTTTTCGGAGGTGGCGTTTGCCAATATGGCAGTGCATTTGATCCGCCATAATTTAACAGCGAGGAGGGTAATTTTTTGGTGAATATATACAACCTAGCTGAGCGAGCAATAGACTGAAGATTTCATTATCATAAAAAGAAAAATGAATACCATCTTTACAAAACATATTAGCACTAGAATTAACGTTTAGATTGGGGGGAAATAACTCGGATTCTTGAGTGGTAAAATGTATTAATAAGGCGAAACACAGAAAATTTTAGAGCACCAAGTTTTCTGTTTGTGAAGTGATTTTTTGCAGAGAGGATGGTTTTGGGGATAATTAGCACAATTGGGTTAAACTTATGAATTATCAAATTTAATAAAAATCTCCAATCATTAGCAAAGTCTGAAACCGTAGATGAGTTATCATTGAATCCGGCTATTATAGTAGCACAGTTCAGTTTCTGCGAGGGGTAGCGCGAGACAGTAGTGGCAAGGCCGGCTAGCTTTGCACCTCTGTACGAGTGAACCATGGCTCCGACATCTTTGGGGCTGCAGTACTTGTTCCTTTAGGTTCCTATTACCAGTTTCCTGCTCCACTTGGGTAGCCACTTCGGCCTGTACTTCGGCACGGACATTCACTAAACAGGGTACAAAAGAGGCAAAACAAGAGAAAGAATAGATTGTAAAATGGATTATAAGGAAATATATTTAAAAAAAACAAATAACAAAAAGGAAATGAAAGCGATTACAACCTGATTTTTCACGGATGGAGGTTCCGGCGGAGAGGTCCGGGTAGAGGGGGAAAATCGCTGCTTTACGAGATCTCCTCTAAAATCCCGTACCAGGCCTCCTTCTGACAAGCGTACTATTATGAGCGTATCATATCACATGAAACTATTTAATAAGTTTATCACAACAACTAGGCTAATTATTGGACTGTGGTCTGGTGAAAGGTCAGTCTGGTAACAAATTTAGCCTCTGATGGTGCAAAATAGGGGTAGCCGCAGGGGGACCGATCGTATAGCAGACCAATTTTTCAGCATAAACAACGATAAATGAGTCTTTAAGCAGACCAGCGTAATAAAGTGATGGATGATTGGTTGACAGACTCAAAAAGACGCTCAGTCTGTGGACAAGCTTCTCCAATTAAGACAATTACCTCACGAATTGTCAACAAAACTATCAACCTCAAAAACAAAACAGTCTAAATTAGCGGCAACACGAAGATTTACGCGCACCATAACACTCGTTATGAATTGAAGCGCAGCGGAGCAAGCGGTCGCTAATGGCTAATGCCGAGTTTGAAGTTAGCTATCACTTTTTATAATTGTTCTGAGTCTGCTAAAAAAACTGGTCTGCTAAAATCCTTAGACCCTAGCCGCAGCCATAAAATTGCAAACAGTCTATGAAATTTCACTAATGTTCAGTTAGTTTTATCTACAAATTACAATCATTTCTACCATCGCTGAGGTCAGCATTTTCTAAGTTGTCTTGAAGTGGAATTGAGCTCCATTAGAATTGAGTAGAATTGGAAAAGCTCCAGTAGAACCCACCGATAGTCTTCCACCTTTTGCAATGCAGACTTGAGGGAAGGGCAGACGATATTTTTTGAGTTATAGAAGTTGAACAACCGAAAAAAACTGCTATAACTGAATGCAAAAAATACTAGTGAAAAAGATGGCAGGCTTTAACAAGCGTGATGCGTTTAGAAGCATGGACGCGACACTTGTTCGCCAAAAAAAATTAATTTTATTTCAAAAACGTACATGTTTTCACTGAAACTATTTTTGATAAACTCCAAAACAAAAACTTTCTTTTAAATTTTTCATAGAAGAAAAGTAGTCTTACACTAATTGATTAATTTTAGAGTTCAACTTTAATAGACCAATCTTTGACATGATGCCTTAGTACAAAATCTGCCGTAAAATCAAGATTTCATTTTTCGTAAACTGATCTTTTCTGTGATATAATTTAGTTCATTGTAAATATCCTGACTATAGAAGAGTTTTGTGAAGTTCAAGTACAATTGTCCAAATAAAAGCAAAGGAAACAAACTATTTAAAAAAAAACACGATTTTTTGCAATATACGATTTAAACGAATTGAAAGTTTAAAAACGGGCTGAAAGTTTCTGATTATTTCTTTCTAAACAAAAAAATAAAATTATGCAGTAATTGTATTTTTTTGCTGTTTTTACCTCCATTTCTTTGCTTTCTTGTTACTTTTTTTCCGAGGAAATTTTGTAAATTTTAAATTCAGATTTTTTATGCTTACCTACTTTTATGCTTTTGAGATTTCTGTGTCTAACTTAGTGTTTGCTTATTTAAAAATTTCAAATTTTCAAGTTCGTTTTTTTTCGTGAACCAAAATTGAGCGTCAAGTTCCTGCTTCTTAAGTCATTCCGAGTTTTGATCCCCGGTCTTTTTTTCCTAAAAGGCAGCCCGAGTTGAGTCTTTTTGCTTTGCTAGATCGATAAAATTTCTCCAAATCAACTGTGCTGTGGATGTTTCCTTCTCACACTGCCGGATAGGTACGCCTGCTTATGTGTCCTCCTTCGCGTGTTCTTCAATCCTTCTTGCAATAGGTCAAACAATTTGTCCAACATAAGTAGAATTACAATCAAAATTACGGGCTGAATTACGGGCTGAAAGTTTCTGATTATTTCTTTCTAAACAAAAAAATAAAATTATGCAGTAATTGTATTTTTTTGCTGTTTTTACCTCCATTTCTTTGCTTTCTTGTTACTTTTTTTCCGAGGAAATTTTGTAAATTTTAAATTCAGATTTTTTAGGCTTACCTACTTTTATGCTTTTGAGATTTCTGTGTCTAACTTAATGTTTGCTTATTTAAAAATTTCAAATTTTCAAGTTCGTTTTTTTTTCGTGAACCAAAATTGAGCGTCAAGTTCCTGCTTCTTAAGTCATTCCGAGTTTTGATCCCCGGTCTTTTTTCCTAAAAGGCAGCCCGAGTTGAGTCTTTTTGCTTTGCTAGATCGATAAAATTTCTCCAAATCAACTGTGCTGTGGATGTTTCCTTCTCACACTGCCGGATAGGTACGCCTGCTTATGTGTCCTCCTCCGCGTGTTCTTCAATCCTTCTTGCAATAGGTCAAACACTTTGTCCAACATAAGTAGAATTACAATCAAAATGTGGCAATTCTTATAACACAATGGAATTCAGATCAGGCTCAAATGACAAGCTAAGCGAGGTAAAAGTGGTTTTCAATTTCAGAAACATAAACAAAATTGGCGCGTTGGTGATGTTGGTCCTTTTTTGCCAAAAATTGACTTTGATTTCTTCGATATTAAAATATAATTTTTTTTTGTCTTATTTGCATAGCTGCCCATATTCTGCTACTGGTTGGTATCAATTATGAGCTAACACTTTTGCGTAGAATTCCCGGCTCATATTTGCTTAACGATTCGTCTGTGTACTAATTTTTCTTCAATTACTTTCCTCTGATCAGCTTTACTTCGTTGTATTTTTTCAATCAATTTTACTCCTGACAGACCGTGCACCGTACCCCTATTATTTTTTTCTTGTACCGCAGAAGTTCATAACTTCTGAGAAATAGACGCTTCCCTGTATTGGTTTTTTTCGTACCACCAACATCTAGTTTGCTTGCTGTTTTCTATACATTTATTGAGGTCTAAAAAGCCAAGTCGGCATTCTCATAAGGTAATTCAGGTAAAAACTATAAGCTAAGCGAGAATTTCTGGGCGGCTTACGAAGCCATGTTTGAGTCTATTTTTACTGTCCTCGAAAAATATTATACTTATCGTAGAAAAAGTTTCACAACCGTTATGGTCAATTCATATTCTTGGCTCTTCTTGCACAGTTTGCCGAGTTAAACTTTTCTTGTTACGCCTTTATATTCCTCCTCCGAGATCCCGCCACAGCATTTATGATCCAAACTCAAACAATTCTCACATTCCACTGCCTTCTTTCTATAAGTCACCTCTTTTTTGCCTTTTGGGTTTTTCCATTCATGTTCACTAGAAATTCAATCTTTCGAGGGATAGCCAAAAACTTAGCCAGAACCTTCTCTTAGTCCTTTATTCAAAGGTTACCCAATTCATTGCCAGGAATGCACCCATAGCCAATCCAACCTTCTTTACAAAATCTGCGTCGCTGCTTTTAAAAAGAACCTTAAGCACCGCCATGTTTAAAAGGCTTTTTTCATTTCTTGATAAGAAAGGTGGCTCACTCTGAATGTTTAATTTTGAGTGGCGATGTCAATGTTCTCTGAAAGGGAAACAATCGTATCCATTTTTTTTACTTCCAAGTAATTGATTTTCTCGTCAGAGTCTTGTTTGATTTATTCTATGCTTTCTTCAGTTTTAGTATCAACGTTTGTCCTCTCGAGCACATCAAACATCGTGTTATTGTTTTAATCAGTGTTTAAGAATTAACAAGGAGAAAGTGGACAGGTCGCAAGGAAGTATCTTTTTCAAGTACTTAGCCAATCTTAATAGTTGTGCCCGTTGATTACACGTTGACCTCAACAATGAGTTTATCGCATCTTTTATCTCATCCCTTTTTCCATAGCAAGTGCTTTTAGTTGAGCTTTTTTCTCAATTTTGGAAAAAATCAAAGCACTCACGTTCTTTTAACTCTCAACAGGTTTTGATTCTAGCAATTGAGTCTTTGTTTTATGACAAAAAACTCAAAGACTTCATCAAAAAATAGCAAGATATTTGAGACACTTACAAGTTTTTTAGTTGAAATATCTCCTGGAGTCTGACCTACTCGATTTGTAAATGAATTTTCGGCTGCCTCTATCTTGCTTTTTTTACCAGGCGCGTCATGCATCCTCAGGTCACACAAAAAGTCTATGTCTGATAAAAATTGCGTTGCGTTGAATTGGTCTCGAGCTGGATACCATTGCCATATTTCTGTCTGTGTCTTAGGAGTCTGCCTTGTTTTTAAACTAACGTTTCAGGTTTTTATTTTGAGTTGCTGAGACCTCACAGACAAGGAGAAAGGCACTAGTGAAAAGCAAGGAGACGGAGCAAAGCGTTATAGAAACAACACTCTCGCTGGTAGTGAAAAACCGGGGCAATGCAAGTCACGCGTTTGTAAGTAAAGTGCCGAACAAAACCAAGGAAGTGTTACTGTTCTCGACACCAGAAAACTGAAAACCTAGCGGCCTTATCTAAACTCTTCATTTTTGCGTGAACAAAAACTATAAGTGGCTTACATGATTTTCTGCAGTGGATTTAGTTTCACTTATGTTGGCCGAACACTTCAACATCTTACCACTTGAGTAGATGAACACCAAAAAGAGGACTCACCCGTAGGCAGTGCAGAAAGGAGATAACGAGAGCATGAATGTCCCATGAGATTATAGACCCAGATAAAAACAGCATCAAGCTACTGACACTAGAAGCACTTCTCACCTGGAAAGAGAGACCAACGATAAACACGCGCGATGAGTTCAGTAGCAAGGAGTCGACAAAAAATTGTAGTTTAGTTAATTTTATCCAGTTCACAACATTTTCTTTATCCAGAGCCTTTTGTATTTTCTTTCTTGATTGAGAAGTCTAGTTCAAAACAAACATATTTTCTTGTCCTAAATTAGAGCTATGTTCACTTTTTTTGAGCTCACAGATTCCTAGAGAAAGTTCAATACCTTTGAACCCCAATTTGTCAAATGTGACTTTTGAATATAGTCAAACTACGCCCATAATCATTCGGCCAATTTTAAAAGACACCTAACACTTCATCTACTGAAAAGGAGCGAGTCCTATTTTGGCTCTGCATCATCTGCAGAACAAAATTACTTGAAATAAAAAATGTGTCGAGACAGTCTTTTTTGAAAATGTTAAGCATCAATAATCAAAGTACGTTTACCCATTCGATTCCACTTGTTACTGTCAGCAGGTTGGATAGTTACGCAACAACTTCACTGCACTGTTCTCGACTTTCAAAATTGAACTGCAACTGTTTCGGATCTTTTTTCAAGGTCAATAAAAACAAGTTTGTTGAGCAGTGAAACTCGTGAAACAACTTTGATGATGCTTTTTGACTAGGATAGAAAAAAGTTTCTCGTTTTTTGTCATTTTTCAATAATTTTTTATCAGGAAACGTCAGTATTTAACTGACACATGAACAATTTTTTCTGAATTCAGGTCAATTTTTATCATGTTTTGTTTGAATGTTCGGAAAAAACCCAATCTGGGTAAAAGTTGAGGGGCAAAATAACTAGTAGGCGTTTTTCTTTCGTCTCTACTGGTTTCAATTGCGGACTTTGCAAGTACACGGGCTATCTTCCGCCTATGATTATAAATGAAAGAAAAAATTTAAACAGAAGAGAGACAAAGGGTGCGCGTTATTGTAAAAAAAAACAAATTGATAAAATATTCTCACAGGCACAGAATCCAGTACTAACACTTTTTCCAACCATTTTTGAATCCGCAAAATGCCTAAATGAACTTCATCAGCAAGATGAACACAGAGCGTAGTAGCTGCTATCCAGAGACAAAATCTCCATGGCGCTACAACGGGAAAACAAATGCCTATAATCTTGCAGGTCGCCTCATCAATTAAAATGAAACAGTCAAAGTTGGTTTCATCGCTGAGAAATGAAATGAAAAGAATTTAAAAGAACCATCAATAAAAAGAACCGTCACTCATTGAGCACTGAGCAGTCAAGCATTAAAAACAACAAAATAAAGATAGAGAAAAAAACAGGTTAAAAAAATCCAGGGACAAAATTTTAGTGTTAAAAAGCAAAATGAAAGCGATTTTTTTTCGAGGATAAGGGGAAAATTCTAAGAATCTGAAAAAGATTTTAAAAATTGAAAGCTAAAGCAATTTAAACAGCTCAAAGCTATTTACAGATACGAATTAGCACTTAATTATATCGAAAAAAAACTTTTGGTTATCAAGTGTATAATTTTCTTCAAATTTGTGGACGAAAACATATTATCACGCAGAACATTTTTTCAACATCAATTGGTTAAAAATCTTTTTTGCTCAAAATGATTTAAAAGTTGACATTCTATTAGCGAGCCAAACGCCAAACTTCTAAATCATCAGCTCCATTTTCAGCATCCATTTAGCTATTTCCCCGAAAAAGTAGACTGATGAATTGAATTTATAATTTTTTTGTACTGGAACCAGTTTAAAAACAAGTATTTATTTTTTACTCTGATTTTTCTTCCTTTGATCCAGTTATTTTTTGTGCAATTATTTCAGCAATGTTACACCTCACAAATTATCAGCAAAATATCAGTCATTTGTCAACATCACCGTCAACACTGACGTAACTTTTTGGCCGGTCCTTCGGTTCCGCGTACGTTTTACGTGCACTCGATTAGGTTACCCTGAGAATTCCTCGGTTTGAGATTTTTCGACAATTACGAAAAAGGAGGAATAAAAAATTTCAGGCAATTCGCCGTTGGCAAAACTGTCCGGATTTTTGACTTCCAATGGCTCTATAATATCTTGTTCTAGCTGGCGTATAAATTTAGGTCAAGCACGGTTAATTGTAAATCGAAATTTCTCTAAAAAACCACATATGGAGCACAGATCGTCAGTCATTTTATTCAAAAGTCTGATTACTCAGGTCATTTTCACATTTAGACATGTAATTTAAACTATTCCTTTTTAATTATAGTTTAACATGCCTAAAATAACATAAAGTAAACCCATTTTTTCTCGATTTTTTCATAAATAGTTCAACAATCAGTTTAACTGTCCCAGACTTCGTGCTTTTTCCTTAGACGATACAGATCTCTCCATGTCGTTATTTAATTCATTTCCACCATTCATTTGCGCCAACACCAAGTTCATTCAGTCCTCTTCGCTGCAGGTAGTAAGAGGCGGGTAAAATATTCGGGCAGTTATCTTGGTTCACGCTTACCATCGTCAGTTTAAGTCCAAAGTAGTGCAATCGGTATTCAACTGCCTGAAACTCGAAAATATTTAGTTTTTCGCATCCTTTTAACATTTTTCACCCTATGGTAGATAGTGAAAAATAACCACATTCATACCTTATAACGAGCTGATCCAACGGAAATTTTTCAAAGGGTTGCGGGTAGGTATGGAGCTGTTAGCAAGATTCAGTTTTCTATATATCTGCAGTTTTTATATATATTACAGAGCATATTTTTTCCAGATACATATTTCAGTTTTTTTGACCTTTTATTTTAGCTATAAGCCTCATTTTAGAGAGTGGCTTTCAGTTTTTAAATTTTCTTCAAGTTAAACGACTTTGGAGAAGAAATAACACCTTGACAGAGAGGTGATGGTATCATTGTTTAACAGAGTAGCCCTTTAATTGCTATAAAAAAATTCAAAAAAAAAATAACTAATGGGTATTTATTTGTTCATGCTGATTATTCGATTTAAACAAAGCTCAAATCAATAACTGACTTCTAATTTACGAGTATTTGGGAACTGAAGTCGTGACAAAACCCACGAATGTTCAGCTTTAACATTATTGATTCCGTTCACGCAGTAATATACCAGGGCGAAATACTTGTCCACGTGGAGAATGAACATATTTGGCATTCCTGGCGTGGATAGTCCGAGGTTGAACAAGTCCAGAATGAGGTCACCTCGGTTGGAGTTAGCGTTGTGTTCGTGAAGAGATGTCAGGAGGCTGTGACAATTGGAACTAATGCGCGCTAACGGTCTGTAAGGGCAAACCGTCTCGTTCCAGGTTATACCAACACCTGGAAAATTATTTATTGAAATTAAAAAACCAGGTTTTGAGAGCAAGTTAAATTCCTCTCCCAGCCCATCCTCCCCCATTGACAATTTCACTTACTTTGTGCGAAAGTTTGAATAAGTTATCTTTTTCAAAAGTTTGTTCTCAAGTTCCCAAAACTAAACTTCTTAGCTGCTCGCGAAATTAACACGATGAGCGTGAAGAACATTTTTCCTGAAAAACTACATTCTCCCTTTTCGCAAAAACTCTTCTTGGATGCTCAATTATTAATAAAAGATGAAAATATGATGTTCAATTTACACTTCTAGGATAGATTTGCTTTTTCATTTTAAAACAGAAACTAATTAGGTTAGGGAAAAAAATGTCATCATGGAACTAACTTTACCTAGCAATAAGCATCACTAGTATTTGCTTAAACTTTTTTTATCTTGATAGAAATTGAGCAAATTTACTTTTTAGGGAGCTGACAAAAAACTAGGAATTGATGATGAGTGGAAATTGAGAAAAAACTTGAAAATCGAAAACTTCAGTAGATCCACCGCCCAGTTATTGAAAAAAGTGTTGAAACAAACCGTGGTGATCTCTTTTGAAGTTGAACTGGTGATAACTGCAGTTGCTGGATCCGGGAATAGTCCAAGAGTCAACTGACTGTCTCACCCCGTACCACTCCCCCTCCAGCATATGTAGCTGCACCTTCTCACTCGCCAGGTGGGGACATTGCCTGTCGTCACGGAACTCACGGGCAGAGACGAAAGCTATTACTAAAAGCCAGGAAAAGAGCCAAAAATTCAAACCACAATGGAGTTGTAGAACCATCGTTTGCAATTTTTGAATAAATTCCAGTTTAGTCACTTTTATTCAAGGCTGAATAAGTTCAAAACAACATCAATCAATCGAAGGCTACTATTTTAGTTGCTATTGTAAGGCAAATTGATATAAAATATGTCAAACCAATAAAAATGTTAAAGTTCAGAACAAAACAGAGAAAGAAAAAATGTGGAGCAATGAACAAATTATCATATGAAGTAACTGCAATACAGACTGGCTTCTATAAA